ATACCGGAAGTGTGACCAGCGGCATAGCGGCGGTACAGTCCGGTGGTTCTAACAGGTGCACACAAGTTACTGCGGGCACGTTGCTCTTGTTTTAATTTTATTTGGCTTTATAACGTACAAGATAGAAGCTGCTGCAGGTATGGGCAATGCATGCTCGGCTCGCTTGAGCGTGTACGCCGATGCTAAACAGCAATACACGGACTAAGTGTCCCTCTGCAGTGTGTGTTAACCGACTCATTTTGACGAGCGAATAGGCCGCATTTGACACAGCACTTGCTTCGAAGGTAAGACTCTGATACTTAAAGGATTGCTTGTTGCATATACGACAGTCTTTGTGACGTACGAATGACTGAAAGCCAAGAAATCGTTGGATGCTTCACTATGGGTTCGTCCACGAACTTTCGCTGAAAAGTCGTGGTGACTACGTTGCTGTGCGTGCAAAGGTAAGATTAATCTGAAGTTATATTCTGTCTGTAAGCGCTCTAGTCGAGTTTCACCATTAATTTCATTCTAGTACGATGCGCTACGAATCTAGTTGAAGCGGCGGGCATAACAGCGCTTACGAACTTGCACGGCCGGGGCACATTCGATGATGGTAGAGTGCGGACTAGACTGAAATTTCGACCTGGTTGGCTCACCTACAGCTTTGAGAAGTGGTTATAAGAGGGAAAAGAAGAAAAAAGGGAGCCCCGTAACTGTCTGCATCAGGGTGCGACACCTCAACAGTAGCTCACAGGAATTGGGGGTGAGGAGGGATTAAAAGGATAGGATTAAAGGTATAGAGAGAGAGAGAGAGAGATGCACTGGGACAGCGAGCGAGGACATGTGAGGGATAGGAGAGAGGAAATATAGAAACACGGTCACAGGAGTCCGAGGACGGGACACCACTTGCGAGAGCTCTTGTCGGCGTCAGAAGATGGAATAGGGCAAGTCCAGTAGGTCAGAGCTCAATCGAAGTAAAAGTATCTGGAGCGTCAAATTATTCACTAGACAAATGTTACAAACCACCTGTGCTTTGACGCAAGTGTACTGAACCAGGTCACTTTAGCGAGAAAAACAAAAGCGTGTTCTTCTAAATTAGGCTGGCAGGGTACCGCACATGTATTAACTGCATTTGCTGTGTTTTATGATTTGTTTATTTTTGTGTTTCGTTCGCATCTAGTTACTCAAAGCTGTCAGAATCCGAACCCAGCTGAGTTTCCATACGCAGGGGAACCACTTTCAAGTACTCATCCCACAGCATTGTTAATAATATCTCACCGGCGAAGACGGCTGAATCACTCGCCCCGACACTTCGCCTCAACCTCCAATGTACGGCTACACTGACCACGAATAACGTTCGGCAAGGAATAAAATTTAAGTAGTTTTGCGTTTTAAGGCTCGTCACCCTTTCATTTTGTGCGATGGCTGTACACAGGCGCAGTCAAACGTGATAACGGATGGTGGGCGCCAAGAACTGCTCAACCTTAATATCATGCAGAGGCACACACAGTGTACATGGCCCGAGTCATGGCGGCCGAAAGACGTCCCTTCCCAACATTACCTACATGCTGTGCGGATATGCCATGAACGTTACGTTATCGATTACATTTATAACAAAATAGTGCCTTCCAAATAGCGTTGCAGCCAAATTGGCACTACTTAAGACTCAGGAATTGAGGTCACATCGTGGTTTCTAGACTCTATTGATTCTATTGTCTCTAGCACTGTCTGCAAAATTCAATCCTGCAGCGCAGTCGTGGAGACCCAAGTCGTAAGAATGTGTCAGTAACCACCGTGCTTCTTTCTTGAGTAGTATCTGGTTTTAACGCGATAGCGTTAAAAAGCTACTGTCGCAGAAAACCCGCCATTGGCGTCAGCCGCGTCGGTTGTGAGCAAAAAATCGTCTGTGCGTCTGTGACCGAAAATAAAGTTACCGAGATAGCCACGAGAGGCCGCTACTTGTCCACGCGTGCTTGAGAGAAAGTAACTTGAGAGAAATGGGGGAAGAGCGTTGGGCTAGGAAGGTTTTCAGCGACTTGTACATGAAGAATGTCGATACAAAATGGAGGAAGCGAACCAGGAAGTTGACTGGTAAATACTTAGAAAACAGCAGGTGGCCAAACCAAAAAGAACTATCGGTTAAGAAGAAAGTGAAGGAAAAGGAGACTGACATGTGGAGAATGGGCATGATTAAGAAGTCCGCACTAGAGATCTATCGAACTTTTAAGCAGGAAATTGCCAAGGAAAGGATCTATGATAATACTCGGGGTAGTTCTCTACTGTTTGAGGCCAGGACGGGAGTACTGCGAACCAAGACATATCGGGCCAAATACGAAGGGGTAGACACAGTATGCAGTGCGTGTGGAGAGGAAGAAGAAACTGCCGAACACTTGATAATGTTCTGTAAAGGGCTTCACCCTATAGTTCAGGATGATGGCGCAGAGTTTTTCAAAGCACTGGGGTTTAGGGACCGGGAGGGCAAAATAAACTTTAAGCGGGTAGACTTAATTAGAAGGAGGTTATCTGATTGGTGGCTAAAGTCAAGGCACGAGTGAAAATTAAACTCTTCACTGCAAAGTACGAATCCTCAAACTCACTTTTTAAGAAAAAAAAATAAATATAGTTTTTGGTTCATTAGGTATTACGGCTTGATGGCGCTAGCCACCGCCCGATCTAAAGGGTACAGCCATATCCATCCATCCACTCATCCATGCTAGAGTTACTGTATATTATATATACAGCACGGAGGAAGGAAAGGTAAGAAGAGGCCCTGACGTCACTCGTTTTCAAGCCGCGATGAAGCCGGAAGTCGGCCATACTGACTGGGCGAATTCTCCTCTCTTGTTTACATATGAATTCGAAGCAGAAGGCGCGACTCCCTCTCTGTCTCAAAAAGCACGTGGCCTGCGCGCCGCGTGCGCCGGTGCTATCCGAAACCAACGGAACGAATTTCAACACGCTGTCTTGCCGCGATACGGTTGACGAAATATCTGCGCATGGCTGCTGTACTCTTGCACTGCCGGCGTTTACGATAAACATGGCAAGTTGCACGTTAAGCTTTTTTTATATTTGATGTGTTCTTTGTGAAAATAAAGATGATATTTCTGACATTGCCTGCGCGACGAACCAGTTACCCAAATTTGTACAACTTCTTTGAGATTACTTTTTCCCCCTTTTGCGTTTCTCTTTAAGCTTTATGAAATTTTCGGTCAGGCTGTGGGCTAGACACAACGATAAAAAAAAAGAAAAGATGTCTTCCCTGCAATAAACCCGGAGGTCCGTAACTATCCCAGTAAAGTCGGCGTCGGTGGAGCTTGCAATGTGTGCGTGGCAAGCCGTTGAGTTTGCGCCGGCCTCTTTGTTTCCGCCCTTCTTTTGTCCGACGCGCACTGGTTCCTACGGATATCCCAGAGGCCATGATTTCATTAGGACGAAAGCAGCGAAGACCACCCGAAAGTGCGTGGGAACACGTCTCCAGTGTGATTCACGCTCACTAGTAGCTACGGAGAACGGAGACCAGGATCGCGTTAGGGCAAAAGGTGGGAAAGTCAGCCGAAGGAATGCGTGAAAAAAGGTCATTATCACTTGGTTAACATCGTTCGAACGGCTTTGTCAGCTTCTGAATGTACAAGCACGCGCATCTAGTGAGGTGCACCTAGTTACCTTGAGCAGGTGCGTGTAGACATTTTCACGAGTTTTTCTTCAATGCAGACAATATTGCGAAGAGCGAGACAACATTGCGAAGAGGGAGCATCTTAAGCGAAGCAGAACAGGAACTTTAATGCGCAGAAGCATGTGGTAACTGCACAGGAACATCAAAAGCAAGATTAGATTACAGTCTTAACAAGGGCCTGTGGACCGCAAATGCATCGTCCGTTGTCATAAGAAGCAACACCGCATAACTGTCACTAACCTGCAAGGCAATCACTGCACGAATTCTTGAGCACAGTCGTTATCCTTCTATGATGGCATTTCAGACATAATTTTGACGGACGCTGCAAATTCGGAGTACGTATACGTGCGCTCGTTCAGTGGTTTCTAGTTCAGACACCTGGTTACAACCACCACCGAAGTAAAATTGCGTAGCTAACATTGTGGCACGAAGAATGGATGCTGTCGAACACCTGCTGTACGCCACGGTTAGGTGCGAGGCCCATGAAAACGTGCGCACCGCCGCTGGACCGCCTGAACGGTGCCGCACCGCACTACATCAATAATAAAAAAAACGCCGCCATTGTGCCCAGTGAATATGGCCGCGCGTGACGTAATTTCCGCCGCATTTTTTACGCACTGCACCGGCTGGGCATGCCCCTTCCTTAGCCTTTCCTACCTCCGTGATATACAGTAACTCTAACGCGTGCGCGCGCGATGCACGCTGACACAGTCGCGCATTCGAAGAAAAAAAAAAAGCGCTCAAGGTCACGAGGCGCAGTAGTTTCTTTGTCCTGCCACCCCTTCCTGCTTAGCTTCCAGCGCTTTCGTCGGGACGAGAGAAGAGATAATTCAATTGCAGCATGCGACAAAGCTTTGTAACTCCACTCGCACATGACGGATTCTTAAAAATTTGGCGGTGTTGAATTAGTGAGGCTACAAGCTCTTCTAACTGAATTCATTCCATGGTTACTTGAAGAAGTGTTTCAGGACCCCTTTAACGCATTTTTTTTCGACAGCTGTCACGACGAAAACGAGCCCATTCGGCGTGCGCTGGTCCAATCTACTGTGTGCGTGTTTGTGTGCGTGCGTGTGCATGTAAAAAAAACATATGAATAAGTATGCACTTAGCGGTTGAAGGGTGCACTAGAGGCCGGGTTTCGCTATCACGTTCAACTCTTAGAAGCGAAGATTAAGGGTCCCCTAATTTTTTTTTTGTAATAGCGGTATTTTAAGCCAATTAAAAAGGCCGTGGTGGACATTTGAGCCAATCAGAATTGACAAAAGCCGGATTTTGGCAACCAACCAAAATAAAGTCGTCTCAAATCCAACGCCGATCCAAGCCGATCCAGTCTGTCGTCAGCTGTGATGGCAGCTTTCAACGCGGTTTCGGGCGCACCCAGCTGCAAGTGTGTTTACATCCCGTGATCTTCGTCGATCGCTTCGGCCATCGTGCAGTGTTTGGGGCAAAGGCTTCGACGATGCCCGAACATCAGAGTAGCGTCACTGGCTGGCGAGCCACGCACGTAGTCGCCTACCTGTTGGCGATGGGAACCTCCATCGCTGCTCTCGTGTGCTATCGCAAAATGAACGCCAGGCTTCACACCACGGTGGACAAGTGCCTGTTGTTCACGAAACCCTGGATAGACGTGGACGCGTCCACCGGGAAGTGCCAGATCGATTACACCCGCATCGAGTGGAGCAGCGACACGCTGTGCAATTACGTCACCTTCGCTCTGCTCGCCTCCTTCGTGTACAGCATCGTCGCCGTGTGGTTTTTCGTCATGTGCGCGCCTAGCCGCGGATCTCAGCTGCATGACAGGTCAGTCGTTGCGCAGCCGTGGTGCACGTTACCCGCAGAAAGTGACAGCATCAGCTGGAACTCAATAGTAACAGCGTTATGGCTGCAAGTTTTAACCGACATTTCCAATCATAACAAATAAACTTGCCACTGCCTATTACATATGGGCAGTTTTATAATAGGCGCACGCAAAGATAGCATTCGTTGTGAGCGCACGCTATTTTCGTCACTTAAAGGGGCTCTGCGACACTCTTCTGGTGCTGTGGAACGCGCCGATATCGTTGCGCAAGTGGCAACGCCGAAATAGACGCTATTATAATATTGATTTACGAGTCAGAGTGCCTTGATTTCAGAGTACGGTGACACACATTGGCTATTTTTGTTGTGGGAAGTCACGTCATGTTATGTGACGTGAGGACAACGACCGTTCGTTTTTATTGGCTTGACACGATAAATAGCGTCCAATATTCGTATGGTGGTAGCCAGGCCACATGAGTTAATGTTAAAAACAGCAAAAACTTGTTTTACAATTTTCCAGAAGGATTTCATTCCCGTCCCTAACCGATGGATTTTCACAACAATGAACACAACACCTACCCTGCGAACGAGGCTATGGTACTCCAGCAACAAAAAGTGGAAACGCATCCCGCTTTTTCAGCTAGAAAAAATGCGACACGCAGTGGGTGCTGGCATTGCCGTAGAACGCGTCTTGCAAGCAAGCCGAGAAGTGACCTCCCCCAAAGCGTATGTGTGTATCTTTCACAGTTTGACCGTGGGGGCATCTGCTACCCTACGGACATGGTTCGTAGTAACCATGCTAATGACACTGTCTAAAGGACTCGTAGCGAGGTATCGTGAAAAGGCCTACATTAGGCGACATATCCGGTATGTCTTTATCGCGCCCTGTGATTGGAAGTGGTCTTTGATGTCAGCAGGCCAGTGAAATGCTAAAGAACGTTTCTCATCATTGCCTGCTTGAGTTTTCAACATTAAGGAGTCATAACTTCACTTTCCGTGCACCAATTTTCATAATTCTTGTTTCATTCGTCTCATTAACCAATGCTACATGCGTTCCGGTGTTAAATAAGGCTGTCCCAAAAGTGTCGCAGGCCCCTTTAAACGTGGATGTCCAGGAAGCTATCGTATGATACATGCATAGTGGCAACAAATGCTAATCCAAAGCATTGAGCTCACGTTTGTTGCCAGTGCACATGCTTCATACACTTACCTCTTGGGTATACACCATGAGCGATAGAAGTAGCATACTTATGCAATGGGCGTGATCGTTGTGCACCCTGTCATAAAACTGCCTGTTATTTATTTCCGATACCCTAAAAAAACAAGCAATAAAATTACACGCGTGCCTAAGAAACACTTCATTGGTAACAAAGGCAAAAACAAATGATCCTATTTCTCGGACATATGTATCTATGAGTATTATCCTCTCCTGTTTTTTTTTTTCCTCTTGTTCTTGCATGTGCCAACATTACAATTTGTAAATATAGCCATATGCGTTTTAGCTAATGTTTCCATTACTTGTAAATGTGAGCAACGTTACGGTGACAAGTTCCTCGAATTAAAAAGGAACGAGTTGTAGGTGTAAGTTACGCGAAAACGTCATCTGGTTCCCTGTAATGTGTTGTTAGTAACTAATTAGTGCTCTTGACTGCTTTTAAACATGAGTCATTAAGTCCGATATTTTTAGGCAGCCACTATGCATGGCAGTGTCCCTAAGCATGGCTTTTAATCTTGTTTGTTCGGCTGCTTGCCCGATTTCCTCAACCATCCAATTAGTATACATCGAAAGAGATGTCATTGAAAGCAATCGTCTTGTGGTGTGAACCCGGGACCAGAACAAAGCACAAGGAATCCGGTGTGGTAACTCCACAAATCGCTAATATCTACGAGGTTCAGAATAAGCAGGTTGTTGGCTGTTAAATCCTGTGCAATAAATTGAAATGTAGAGAACATAGGGAGCATACGTTGTAATACTGAAGTAGCGTTTAATAATGTAACAAGTTTCTGTCCTGACAAGACCTGTGACTTGCGTGAGCTGCAGGAAATATTTACAAGTTTCACAAAATTGATTTGATGTTAATACGATTGTTCCAGTCTGACAGAAATGAAGGCTAATAGAACGAGCAATTCATGCACCAGCATTTGACTTCCTTCTTCGAAATTGCTGTTCAACTTTACTAACGCACACCATATACCTATTGAAAGATTGCGCAGTAGAGTAGCGTTGTTTGTTCACTGTTGACGTACATCAGGGTCTCTAGTTGCTCTTTTCCAAGGGCAGCTGTACCGCTACGGCTACAAGATACGAAACACATGTAGCAGCGAGCAGAGTATCTATTGGAAAGCATGGATCTGAAGATGGAACTGTTTTTTTTTTCTTTTTTTCTTTGAGGCAAAGTGTACGAATAACAAACTACGTGGAACGGAGCAGAGAGCCTATCTTTCTCCACATCTCTGTATAATACGAGGCAGTTCGGCATCAGTCGGCTTCGTCCTTTGTGATTGTAGATCACAGGACAAAACTATTCCATTCAGTTCCGCAATTTATACAAACAGTCTAAATGTACTGGATACAGGGATGGTAAGCTTCGTGAGTACTGAAAACTACTCAAATGCTGTAGCACTAAGCAAAGTATGACTTGACAGGTAAAATACGAGCGCATCATCTGTTCAGGCACACAGCTGTCTAGCTCATCATTTGTTTAGAGTGACTTCAGGAAATATTCTTGCAGATCTGCAAAATCGGATATGGCGGCAAAGCTAGTAACAGTAACAGTAGTAACAGCTTTCAGTTTCAAAGCAGCTACACATTAAACTTGGTAACGGTTGATATCTGACATCTTGCATATTATGTGAAACATTGTATCAGGAGGATCTTCACCAGCTCTGCCATGAATTTAGAGCAAGGTATTCTCATTTGACAGTCGGCAGTTATTCCTTGCATACTTTAGAGGAAGAATTAGCATTTCATTATGTCACTCAGTTTGACTTTTTTTTTGTGTCCCTCAGTTGCTGTGACGACAGAGCAAGGAGCACTTGGGAGGTAACAAAAAGCTGCTGATTAGCACTCGTTAAGGTGGCCTTCTTATTGCATGAAGAAAAAAATGTGATGTAATGTGAAATTATCATATTTATTGTTTCAAAACCAGTTAGCAGATGGGGACCAAAAATTAGAGCAACCTGAATCAGCATCTGTTATTTTAACATATGATGCATATGAAGCAGCATCTGTTACTTTAACATATGATGAAAGCATCCTATAGCAGGGTTGTTGCATCACAATCATAACCTTTGTTCAGGTTTATTAGCACATACAAACTCTTTAGTGGGATGTGATTCATTAGTTCAATACCTGTTGATTTCAGCAAAGGAATTCTAGGTTCAGAGAACAAGCTCATGGAAAAAGCATACTACGTGGCTGTGGATTATTCTTGACCATTCAAGTTTTTTATACATGCATACATTTTTTTTGCTTTATTCACCTGCGTACATGCATCCCACCATTGGTTGCCAAACCCATTACCATGTGTGCACCAGCAGGTTGCCATAGCTGAGGGATCTCAAGCACATGGCCAACAAACTTTTCCCTATTGCCCGTGTCATCACAAAAGATAAACCTTCATGATTTTGTAAAATGGTACTCAGATTACTTTGTTGCCCATTTGGATTAACATGGCTTCCTTCATGTAAGTCAGGGGTATAAGAACTGGTGCCTAGGCATTTTTTTTCCTGAGGGCCCATGTGGGTTCACCGTGCTGAAACATTGTAGAACAAAAACAGTAGTTAAGAATGTTATTCATCTTAGATATCAGTTTCCTTGTCAAAACCTGACACTAGATTTCTTTCAGGCATGACCCATATGTGACATATGAAAAAAGTTTCTTTCAAATTGCAATATTTGCTCTATGGACATAGCCAGGGGGGAAAGGGGTGGGATGGTTCAGACCGACTCCCTCACTGCCAAAAATTTTCAATAGTAGCTTGCGTATATATACAAGTACACATAAAACTCAGCTACTGAATGTACGTAAAGGATGTTTGAACCCCTCCTTTTGCAAGGAACATTTCTGGCTACATCACTGGTCCACCCCATTTTTCTTCACTCTCCTTGGCCCTTGTTGCCTCGAATTTCGTGATTCCAGTCAGCTTGCTGAAGTGAATTTGAGATCCCTGCTATAGCTTCTTGGCTGCTGTATTAGCTGTTCCCTCCCAAGTTAATCAAGTCTTGATTTCAGGACGCACAGCCCTAAGCATTTATATTACCCTGAATTCACTCCCAAGTGGTTCTGCTCTTTCACTGTTAAATGGTGATGTTTGTATTGTTTGATGCAAAAGAAATATTCTAATGTCCCCCTTTCATTTCAGCGAAATTTACGCAGTAAACGGCCACACGATGATGAGGTAACACACTGGAGACCGGAATGTTCACTCATTGCCTGCTTTCTTGGAGGTCATGTGGGGGAGAAAAGAGTAGCATGCTGCATTGACCCTCCAGCACCTTTCGCTGTTCCTTATTTTGTCCAACGTTTTGCTTTATGTAACTTCCGCCGCAACTTTCTCTCTCTTTATTTTTGTTTAACAATGCATGTCTTCTCTTCCCTCCTTGTTTCTGTTGTCAAACTGTCCTTGTAGCCGTTAGTGCGGGCACAAATTCGTGCACTTCAAGTTTGCAAGTTGTATTTGTTCGTTATCAAACTGCCCTTGTAGCCGTGAGTGCATGCACAAATTTGTGCACTTCAAGTGTGCAAGTTGTATTTGTTCGAAAATTTGTTTTTTTTTTTCTCTTTTCCTTGGTTCAATGAAAAAAAAAAAAGCATTGACTTGGCTGCGTACAGCCAAGTCAATGCTTTTTTTTTTCATTGAGCATCGACATCCGAGCACAGACACCCTTTCGTTTTGCACCTCGCTCTTAATTATTTTGTGAGGTCATCCTGCGTTGCTGATGACACTACTTGAAAACCTAGTCGCGCAGTTGAACCCTTTGATGCGCTTTGTATACAATTGCATACACATATTTGTGGTAGTTCTGTCGACTAGTCACTGAGAAAGAGCAAGGTTCATTCAGATTTGGATCAACTGAAGCTGCTGCTTGATAAACATGTTTTCATTTAACTTTAAATTGTCCTGCAACACTTTTTGAGCATGGTCAGAAAACGCTTCCGATTGGTGGTCGAGGCTCCCAAGAACATGCGAGCCTAATAATGTAGCACTGCATGCGGCCTCGAATTTGTATGGAATTCTCCAAAAGCACTTAAAGTCACCTGTCTTCTCTTGACCAATGATGCTATATACTCATAAATCAATGCACCATAGGCCCAGGTACCACGCCATTGGCTGATTTGAGCTCGACGGTTACTGCAGCCACTGTAAAAAGCTGTGATGTGCACGTGTGTGCATGCGATTCCACTGAAAAGCCAGGCTCATGAAGAAAAAAACAAAAGTGAAGGCCACGAGGCACGTGTGTTGCACCTTCTTCTCCTGTGCCAACCCTCCCTGTTTAGCTTCTAGTCCTTGCATCGTGACGAGAGAAGAGAGAGAAATGTCAGTGTGTGACAAATATTTGCAACTCCGCTTGTACTGGATGGACTCTCAAAAGTTTTGTGGCAGTCACTTAATGAGACAGTAAGCTCTTTTAGTGAATTCATTCCCGGGCTACTTAGAAAAGTGCTGCAGGGTGCCTTTAATTTTGCAGTGCACTCTTCCATATGATCATTTTTTGTTGACATTACCGTGCTCAATAAGTTGTTGAACTTGTTTCCTTCCACGAGCCACATCAAAAATATAATTCAACATTGCTCAACATATGACTGCAAACAAAATTGTGCTATATTTCAGTTCTCGAGGTTAATTCTATTTATTCAAAAACAGTATATGAACGACTTCCAGAGGAGAGGATAACTAATTACAAAATGCTGAACAATATTTACTCTAAAATAAACAGATATAAGTATTATGATATTATTTTGTTGACACTGAATATTAAACTTTTATAGAATGATGCTGTGTGAATTGGGTAATTAATGGACAGCTTGTCACAACTAGTGCCTGAAAGGTTAAGTTTTGCAGGCTCCCAAAATACAATGCAGTGGTATCATGACCAATGAGCAGACAATTGTGATCATTGTAGTTTCTTGCAAGCTCAATTCTGGTTATGTAGTTTAACATTACTTACTAAAAAGTTAGAGAGAATAATACCCTAGCTTACATCCTGGCTACTTGTGTGCAATATGATCAGGTTTTACTCAAGATCAAATAACGTGGAGCAGCATTGGCAAAAATTGACCTAATTGTTTCTAAGACAATTATATTGCTAGTGTCGCAAAAGACGAAGCACAAAGAAAGACGACAACACGAACTAAGAGATAAGAAAGATAGCTGAAGCCCTTGCTATCTGCACTAACGTTGACGCACGGGCTAGCACACCATCGGTTGCGTTACGCGACTGCGAACTGATATGCTTGGAGAAGAGGTAATAATCTTATCGAGTGTAGTCTTTCAATACGTGCGTAGGTTACGCACACACATTTTTTCTTCTATCTTCCTTTTCTTTTTTTGTTTGGCTTAAATAAAGCAAACAGTGGTCAGTCAATGCTCGTATTGTCAAGTCTTTCCTAGTGCTTCGTCCCTTGTGCTGTTTCAATATGAAGACAAACCAACTAGCCCAACTCTCCCTTTGGTTGCCAAGATGAACCATAAAGTGGATAAAGGCTCGTTAGCACTTTTTTAGAGCACATTTTAGCTAACATATTGATTCCTTTGTGGACCAGTATGACCTGTATGGTAATAGTTCCAAATGGTTTAGTTACGATTGCAAATGCGAATGTCGTTATGTGTTCTTTCAGTCCAAGCAGGCTCACATGCCTTGGTTAACCGTTTCCAATCATCTCACTTGGCTTTAGCGTGTTCTCTCCTGTAATACTATTTTAGTCCAAGTATTTATGGATAGGGAGCATCTACGCATGAAGTTGAACCTTACAGCATAAATTATAGCACGACCAGACAGCTGTACTTTTTTACAGGCGGTGAAGCCACTCACGACAAAGCTGGATTGTAGATACCTAGTATTTAGACATCCATAATGTGCAGTTATTAGCAATAAAAACGCACAGATATCAGCCTATAATAATTAATATAGGAATGTAAATTCTTGAATGTGTCACAGCATTCACTGTTTTGCCACTTGAATGCTTGTGGGGGAATGTCGCACTAAGATTGAGCTGCATTGCACATATGTACTTGAAGTTGAAAAACACGAGTTTGATCTGAGCGCTCATTTTACAGTTTGGTGCTTCTGAACAGATTGTGAGAAGAGCCTGCACCACCACTTGATCGCAGGTGGTGCTTCTGAACAGTGAGAATTCATCATTTCAATTAAATTTAAGGAGGGGCAGAAAGTTCACTATGTCAATGTTTGTGTCCACGTTTTTGTCTAACCAGCCTTCAAGTTTTCTGTGGTATCCGTCTGACTTATTCACATGCAGTGCATGACGAATTGTTCTCGTCTGTATCATTGCCACTGTGACGACTGTCAACTGTGTGTCCATATCATGTTGTACAGATGGAATGACGTGCATTTAAAGCTCACGCAGGCCTGTCAATAAGCGGCCTGTGAGAAGTGATTATGTCCAAAAGTGGTGCGATTGATTGTCATGAGCACATGTCTATTTCAAAACATATTAAAGCATCTTTGATTGAAAACTTATGTCATCATGTGACCTTAACAACAAAGGTCTCTGCTATCTGTTCCTCCTGTTGATATATAGCCTTTCTTGTGCTATTTTATCAAACTAGCTGAACAACCGCAGAAGTTGCTGCGTATCTGAACATAGTTGGCAGAATTGCTGTAAATGTCAGACCAGATGTGTAGAGTATATTGCAGTTCTTTACCTTTTGCATTGATCATGACGTGTTAAGTGTATTGATCATGACATATTGATTATGATGTGTAATCATGATGCATTGTCCCTGAACATGGGACAAGTGATCAAGTGTGAGAGGGCAGTAAGGTTTTCTAATAAATACGCCATATTTTTTCTGTCATCGTAGAAAGCAGAAGTTGGCAACTTTTCATTATAATATGGAACATATCATTAAGATCAGTTAACTAAATGAAGTTGAAACATTACTTCCGGAGGGCTAAACTTAGCCAAACATTTTTAAACACTCAGCGTCTTTCCATGTTACAAAAACCTCTGTATTGGTACTGCTTTCTTGTTGAACAAAAGCATTTTCTTGTTGTTACCACTGTTTCACTGGAAATTTCGTTTCTTTCAATCATTCTCCTTGTCACCAACTTGTCACGTGACTGGCTCAGCATCGTGCACGTGTGGAAGATAGTGGCACCGGCATCTTTGCTGAGTGGTGTGATGGCCCTCATCACGCTTGTCATGGCCTGGAAAGTCACCAACGGCATGAACATCTTCTTCCACGACCTCAACATGGGCATGCAGAAAAAGTGAGAGACCGCGCCAGTTTGCATCAGCGCTAGGTGCCCTAATTCGACCTGCTTCGCTTCTTCAGCTTTTCCTTGTTTTCTGCCTGCATCTGTGCTAAGTTCGAACAGCACGACTGAACGTGGACAGAGAAGAACACGTGTAAACAGCGCTGAATTTCAGCTTGAAGTTTATTTTCTTGTGCGCATGATCTATGTATATGCATACACTGGCAGGTGAAAGCAAAGTGGGCGAGATACAGACCCAAATGTGCATGCTTTTGCCGCAGTCACAACCTGTTAAAACGCAACTAGAGCGATAGGCCTAACAAGCTCACTTCCTTGTCAGCGACTAAGATGGCATGCTCAGACACTTATCAGTCGTTTTTCTATTTCACAGGGCTTTTATGATTACCCTTGTCAATTTGTCTTTGGCCCTGATTAAAATACTAGTTTCATCAAACATGGAATGCAGCCACATTTCTGGCAGTGACTAGCAAGTGTTCTGAAACCACTTTCGTGACATTGTATTTATGCTCTTTCAACCTTTGTTGGTCCATCTCTTTAGTCTTTCCACATGTTTTGCACCATATTTTAGCCTTTTAAATTGCACCAGTAATTGGAGATACGTTTAAGTTTGCTTTTTAGTGTTCGTCATATTATATCGAGGTCTCTTTGGCACCCTTTCAGTTGCACCACCAGCAGCATGATAGGCTGGAAAGACAACACAGTGGCCTTGCTTCTCGCCGACCGCGTACCAACAAAGGTGGGTAAACTTGGGCATGAGCTTTCCTCGGCTTATGCCTGTTGTCTAGCACGTAGTGCATGCACCACACATATATCACTTGCCAAAAACATTTTCTGCAGAGTATTGAACTGTTTCGTAATGCACAAGCAACTCTTGTTTTGCATGAAGTTTTAATTTGTATCGCGTCAGCTGGTGCGTAGAGGTTAGCTGTGATGATAGCATGTTGGCCATGGAGATAGCCTTCAGGTGGCATGGCGTTGCATGGCGTTCATTCCATCTTTCCAGATAATGCATTCATTAGAAACATTAGAAAGATACATTTACTAGTATGGTCTCTTTTGACGTCATCATAAATCACTCGCTCTTATTGCTTTCATCAGGTAGACGTGATCTGATGTGCTTGACTGACAAATTATACTAATTAGTTAACACTCACAAAAATATTGTTCGATCTTGGACTACATTAAAAAAGTCTTTGAAGTTCAGTGAGGGGCACAGTTTGAATAATATACTTGTTACATGGGTGTTTGATAGGCATTTAAGTTGATATTTTGACGAGTCAGTGTACAGGCTCAAGCTGTTACCCAGGATGTTTCAGAGGTTGCCGAGTAAATAGTCTTAATGTGTCAATAAAGCACCCCGCTCCTTTATGGAAGCCTTGATAGCCATCGAGTAACAGAACTGGAAGCAGCACAAACATGGCCTTTTTTTCGTAGTGTGCTCGTACTCACAATTAAAAAAAAAAGGGAATCTAACCGGAATGCTTTGGAGGCAACGTAGTGAGTGACGTGAACCAGTATTTTTGCCGCTTGAAATGTGCGAGCTGTGCTTACTCACGAGATAACAACATGCGTGTCTTCATCTCACCATCTCTTGCTTGTCTCAGTTTGGCTGCTCAACAACTAAAAAACTGAACAAGTGTTTATCACTACCAATAAAAAAAATTTAGTGAAAGAAGTTACAGCATCGACAGCAATATAATTCGGACGCAAGGCTCCAATGTGGTGCCGATTTGGTTGTTTTGTCAAACCTCTGCCAGATGGCAGTAATTTTGCTAAAGTCTTTTAAATTATCGCAATCGAAGAGCAGTTTCATAACCTTAAGTGGTAGCATTTTGTGGCCGGCTGCTGTATATTTTTAAAATATCACATTTATGTGATATTCAACAGCACTTCTGTTTTCGAAGTTATTTCTGTGCAAAAACAGTAATAAGCAGTGGTCGAATGGAGTGCATACTCTCAAAGATCATAGTAGAGAGAGAGACAGTGCGAAAGCATAAGCACACCTTGACATGCGAAGTCACAAATGAAGTGATTGCTTAGTGTTAATGCTTTCGTTTCCTTCTCTCTTTTTGTTGTTTGCAATCTTAGATGTGATATGCTGTTTCAAGCTAAGTTTCGCTCACCAATTTACCATTTCTCTTTTATTCGTTGCAGATTTTTGTGTGGCTCGTGTTTTTTTGTTGGGCATTTGCCACGTTGGCGCTCTTCATACGATGCAGCACTGCTGCCGACTTCAATGAGACCAAGCGGGAGGTGAGTGGATTGACATCTCAATGTCACTGTGTTCACAATTTACTTGTTTCATTACTTTAATGTCTTGTTTGCATATCTTTTTCTCATGCTTTCTTCTCACATTTATGGTGCCTGCCTACCTCAGCTCTTTCTCCAACTGCGATGTTTCCATTCCCCAATTTTGGTGCGAGTGTTTCTGCGCGGAGTATTGTACACTCAAACCTCATTATAACAAAGTTGCATCTTGCATGAAAATATGTTTGTTACATTCAAAAATATGTTAAAAAAGTGCATTCCTAACGCTATCTATGGCAAGACTATCTTTCATATACTTTGCCATAATCGATATTTTGCTATATCTGGGTTCGTTATGGTGAGGTTTGAATGTACACGTGTTGAAAGGGCCCTTCCAAGAATTTGGGTCAAGTCTGAACCAACTACCAAAAGAGTATACCATAAATAGACGGGATCCCACCCACAATGTTCAAGAACTTCTGAGGAGCTTAATTGTAGTATGGATCTATGGATGCCATAAAGATGGCTCAATCCACAAATGCGATGTCAAATTGAGGTCGATCATCAGTGGCAGTGATAACGAAGATGTGCATTTAATTATGTGGAGTGTATAAAAGTACCAAGGAATGCATTTGTTAAGAAAGGGAAGGCATTTTCTACTCTGGTAGTGAGAAATCACATAATAATATGTGTGATTTCGTACTTGTAGTTTGAGAAATTACATAAAGCGGTTAGTTCCTATGTAAGAGCCACAACTTCGTGAAGTTGAAAAATGAAAGTGCGGACCAAAGTCAAGTCTATGTCGCATATTACTAAGGTGTGGGTTGGATCATTCATAATTCACTTGTCGATAAAATGCTAGACACTCATGCTGGCAGCAGTCAACATGTTCAAGATGAAAGTCTTTATGTGGCCGGACATTTGGTTGGGAAACAAACTCAATTTAAAGCAAGCAGTGCACACTTTACGCTGATGCTATTGATGAAAAGTCGTCTATAATAACTGGTCATTGTTGGAACGTCCCTCTTCTATACACTACTCATCGAACATTCCAACCTTGTCACTGGTCATTCTGCGAGCTCTTGAAATAAGTGCGAGTGTTTGCGTCGTGCGTGTTCTTAACAAGGCGATCTACTACAATTGTGATGCTTCTTCAAAACTTGTGGCAGTGGAGGCGGCAAATAGTTACGAGGGTAGGTGGTGCAGAGGACATTTTAGGTTAATCTAATAGTAGTCTGCTGCCATGTTTGCAATGAGAACAGAGTCTTAGGAAGGTTTGTAAAAACTGGAGCTTTTATACTGCTCCTATGCAAAAGAAGATCAGGATATAAGTATTAATCAAAAAATTAGAAGGTATTGTTATAACAAACACTTGTTTATTGTTTTCTTGATACTTTCAATAATTTGGCTTTTGATTAACTTGGACATTTCTTCCGGTCTTGATAAATACAAATTACCAAGTTTTTATTGTATATTCTGCTTAGGGTATTGAAGAATAGTTCAAGAAATAGATGATTCTTAATAAAAAATATACTTCTCGGAAAGCTGTGCTCACCTGTCACACTGTTTGTAGATAGTGTAATGCGGATTTTCTAGAACTCTTTTTATTCTCCAAAGCTGTGGCAATGGCATGAGAATTTTACTGTCATTTTTAATTTGAGCTATGTGTCAGTGTCACATCGAGGCCTTTCGAATTCTGAACAGGTGATGATATAGGCAGTTTAAATGCCATTTTGTATTATATGCAGCTGTTGCATTTACATATTGTTCCTGGCTTTGAGTGTTTTTCGTATCTGCATAGTGCAGTTTCTATAAATGCTGGTTTGTCATTTGGCTTGTTAGTTTTTTCATGAAATCGTTTGACGAGCATTTCGAGGTGCATGAGAGGCACTGCTTTGCACTGGCCGAATGCTACCATAGCCACTCCTTCTGACAGCTTAACTCCCATGTTCAGAATTGCTCCTTGGCTTGTCTTGCCACTGCCTTTATTGCAGTGCATGCCACATGTGTTTGTGGTGCGTTGAAGCTGGTGGCAAATCAAGTTCAAATCAAGGAGTATTTTTGAATACGGAGGAGGGGGGGTAGGTCTTTGGCACGCAGTTCCTCCTTACAAAAACACTGTTTTTTGTGCATCTCTTGCACGGTGAGCACAGGAACAGTTAGGTGAGCAGACTCGGATGCTGTAGAGGTTGAAAAAAGTCGCACAGTATTGAAATCAAAGGCCAGCCTTTCTGACTGCTGAAAATTACACTGTACAACTTAGTGACATCATTCATCGGAACTTGAGCGTTTTGTGCCCTTCTGCGGGACCAGGTCCAGGCTTCAACATCTCTGCAATTAGCAGTGCCTTCGAAGACAACTCGGTATGGTTTGTGAGGCATCCTTGAGTGGATAACGAGTTGATAGTGCGGTGTGTTGTGACTGCATTGTGATGCACAGCTGACTGTAACATACAAGACTAGAGTTTCAGGATGGGAGTGCCTGGTAGTGTGCGGGCACTTCGATCAAATTTTAGATTGTAGTCAGAGAAGCAGATTGGGGCAGCGCATTTTTCAGCGGCATGGAAACAAGCTTCAGTGTTCCAAAACTTAAAGTTGACCTGCAAAATAAATTCTCGTCTTTTTTTTTTTTTCTGTGAACGAAAAGATTGAATCTACAGTTATGGTTTATCTAATTAACAATTACTTAATTCTGTGTATTTAATCTTTAAGGCAAGGTGAGTGATAGTTTCCTTCAAGCATGGGGTCTTTATGGATTAAGTTACTATATGCTTTTAAGCATATGATTCATAGAGTGTGATTAATCCACAAGCAAGCATGGTTAATTTTTTTTTTCAGAAACTATTTACTAGGTTTAAGAGGATAGCAGCATAAAGGGTCTATGTAATGCCCTAATGAACCACTTTTAGCATTTTTAGAAACTCGTTAATTTTTTTGGGACACAATCACAACTTTGACGTCTAACTTCCCGTAGTTTTCACACTGTATTATCGTGACAGTTCACAGGTTCTCAAGATATCGCTTAATTGAAAAGATTATTTCACAGTCAGATAGTTTTTGTTTTGCAGGTTCAATCAGCATAAAGTTTATAGTGCCTTTTTTAATGAAAGATGCAGGAGCGAGAACTAATGTCACTAAAAAGTATGCACTAAGGTGTCATGAAGACTCGTTTCATACAGTCAGAAAAAGGAGACGAATGATGGTCTCTAAAACAAATAAAGTAAGATTGTTAGTTTTCACTAATGTGCATTTTTTATTTTTGTTTTGGTCCCTGTGTGATCGCAGCATGTTTTTGGCATGTGTGCTTGTGTGCTTTTAGGTCAGGGCAGTTTTTGATGGCCTGATACGTGCAAGTTCCGTAACAGAATTCTTTAATCCTTTTTTTCACTTTCTTGTTATTTTATTTTGCAAACTGACAGAGTATGTTTGCTTTATGCCTTTTGTGTTTGCATTATTTGCTTGCATGTAAAAGGTTTAGAGTAACAGTTGCCAACTCAATTTTACACGTAATGCGCAGAAAAGTTTCATGGACATGAAAGCTGACCAACAAAAATGATTTCAGGCTTAAAGACAATGCAGTAAAAGTGATTCAATTCGTGACTCAGTCATTTGAATTCTTCGATAATGTGGAATTAGTAGCGCAGCTTGACCAAGCTTTATAGAACCTAATGTATTCAAAAGCTTCACTTCCTAGAGTGTGCCTGCGCCTCCGTAACAATGTCCGAGTCACTGCACAAAAACTGGTTTTGAAACTCCCTTGTACAACAACGCTGCGACATAATGGTTGCGACCATGTAATAGTGCTATTACCCACATTTACATAGATTCATTGCCAAAGGCCAGTAAGCTGCAGGTTTTAAATTATTACTAATGTACACCCAGCCTCTGTAGTAAACACCATCATGGACATGTGTACAAGGGGCGGGGGAGGGGTGACCCTTAGTCACCTTAGAGGGGAGATACGAATTCAGGGAAGTGCACCATTCAGGCCGCTTGTCGCAAGTCAACATGGACTTATTCACTGCCCCTGCGAGACATCGCAACAGGTGAAATACACAATCCACTGACGCCAGTACACGTCTGACGTCTCCCATCACGTACGAAAGTCAGCCCCACTCATTGGCATTATAAGGAGGGGGTAGAAAGTCAGCCTCATACCAGGACCAATAGACCATGCTAACCGTGAATGCAGTCTAGCGTCTGATGCTGCTGCTGGCACCCCATCTATGTGTGGAGTTTTTGTGGTATTTCATGTCGAAACACATGCTTTTCACAGTCTAGCTGAAGGGGAGCATAGCGTTGTGCTTCATGCAGGCTGGCAACATTTTTTTCAGTTTTGTGACAAATTGTGCTTGTACAAGATGATTATCTTGAAGAAGTGGTCCATTGTGAACTGTGCCCTTTTTTTGCCATTTCAATATCGCATTATTTTTACGCGAGCATACATGTTCGCTTGCACCCAGTTCAATGCTTTTGCACCTAATCTGCTTTGGGTAGGTTTCATGCTGGTACTGTAGATCATTCATGCTCAGCGTGATGCTTTTCTGTTAGTATGGTTTCATATCGCTTTACGGTTGTGCAGCTAATCGCTCATCCTCCACCTTACCCCTTTCTGCCAGATGTGATTTCTTGTCGTGTTATGACGATACTCGACTTTGTGCTTTTCTGCTAGCTTGGCTTCGTGTCATTCTTCGACAGTACTTTGTCTCGTTCACTGTCCATTTGGTGGGTTTCTGCCAAAAGTCCTGCAAGCTAATCTCACAAAGCATGCTCACGCTCAACATGATGCTTTCCTTCCAAGACGGGGTTCACCTTATACTCGTGATTGTGTAGCTACTCGTCATGCTCACCTCGCCTTTGCTCTATCAGCTTGGCTTCATGTTATTTCGTGAGAGTTCTGCTACACACACTTCTGCTTTTGTTAACATGACGTCATATTATTCCACCCAGTGCTGTCATATATTTCATGCTCAACTTGATGCCATTGTGCAAAATATGCTTTACATTATTCTTAAGATTGCAGCGACTTGTTCACGCTCGACTTTACGCTTTTCTGCCAGTTTTGCCTTATGTGATTGTCATGGTAGCACAGACCCTTTTTCACACTCAAGGTCTTTCTACAAAAACTGCCTCGTTTCATTCTCATGACAGCGCCACCACTAGTTCGTTCTCAGCTTACATTTTTTCGTTAACATCGCTTTGTGTTGTTTTGTGACTGTGGTGTCATTCTTTGACACTTTTCTGCCGAATGTGTCTTACGCTTTGCTCATTAGGGTACAGCCACAAACTCAACGTTGCGCTTTTTGGCCGAATGTGCCCTCTTTTTCATCTCCTGATGGTACACTCACTCGCTTATGCTCAACATGACGCGTTAATTTTGCTCTACTTCAGTAACTTCGTCGCAAGAGCCACTGTTTGCTTTCAGCTCGACTCTTTTGCTTGAACTCTATGCTTCTGTGCGTGCCAACACAGCCGCTCATCAACGCTCAAGCTCAGGCTGGCATTCCACTCGGTGCTGTCACTGTTCACCCATCTTCGTGTATTGCAACAGTCTCCGTTACCCATGACCATGCTCCTTGCTGGTCGTGCCCTCCTCTACCCTCAGTAGACACATTGTGTGCTTCGTGACAGGTGACTCTTGTGGCCTCGTCTGGTACTTTGGAGCAGGACAGCACCGAAAAGAAGGTCTCGCAAAGTTCGCGGAGGTAGGAAAAGACTGCTGTCCATCAAGTGTGGGATTTGCTGAACCAGTTTTTTTTTTGCTACAGTTTTAGAAGCTTAGAGTCAGACGTACAATCTACTAGGCTCTACACAGAGTACATATTTTAACTCCCGAGGAAGGCCTGTGGGGACCTAAAAAATCTGTCTTAATAAATCTAGCATTACTACTAGTTTGAAGACACCTAATAAACTGACTGAAGCATTCGTTTCATCTCTTGTTATAAGTTTTAATATTTTCTTGTGCTGAAACTTAATCAGAATGGTCAATGCAAGAAGAGCTAGAATCCTATATTGTCATTTTTTTACCTTAAACAAACTTTTAGTAGGATTAAAAAGTCACAGCTTTAATGCAAAGGTGAAGCAATGAACGCAATAGCAATAAATTGGAAGGTCACATGCAGAATGGCAAGCAGATAAAAATCTGTGCCACATTTCTCACGCATAAATGATGCACGAAGCGTACTCACAGGTACAGATGAACGTGAATAAGCATCTCAGTTGTGACTTCGCTGTGTCTGAAAGCACGCCCTTTTCGCAAACGAAGACCGTGCAATGATCCCAGTGATCTTTGTGCACTGTGTAACTACGACAGAATCGTTCCAATGAAAGCCCAAGACCAGCCAAGACATACGATTCTCCCCACCGCGAGATAAGGGCACGCGAGTGAGCATCGCCCCTCCTCCCCATGGCACAAAGTATTTGTGGCAGATGAAAGCGCGTGGTGCTGCATTGTGACGATGTGGCGACGTGCGCTCATTGCGCCATCTTGCTGGTAATGCTGAAAGCATAATAGTTCTCTCCGAGATGGCCGTCAGCAGTGGTGAGCAGTAGATATAGATAGCTTGCCGTTTGAACGTTGAAGGAGGTGCTCCTCCGTGGCTCAGTGGCTAACCCCTCACACTCTTGATTCAGAGGTCCCACGTTCGATTCCGCGCATCAGAGTCTTTTTCTGGATTATTTTTCTTTTTTACATTTACAGATATATACCTAGTTACGTATAAATGTACGATGAGTAACGATGCCGGCAGTAAAATAGAGCCAAGAGTATCCATATAATTGCTATCGCAATAGGACAATCTAAATCATGGTGACAGTGTTGTTTGCATTCCAGTCCCCACATTGACAGTATCGGGACAAAATTGTATGGACATAAATGTGCCATTATTCTGCGTGATGTCTACAGGTCATTGTTTCTGTGTGACTAAAGTTGGTAATGTTTAGCACATTGTGTTGTCAACATCTTCCTTCTGTTCTCGTTTCGTTGTGGTAAATATGTAATAAAACAATATGCTTTTTTTCTCAATAATGTGGTTCTTCAATGGTGTGCAGTCAGCATTTGCGCTGTCTTCATTCTATTTTTCTTTACAGCAACTTCACACTTTTTGTCTAGTTTCAGTGTCAGTAAGGTCTATAACAATGAAGTAAGCAATATAGTATTGAAGGTAACAGATATATAAGGTTATAACATTGAAGTAAGGTGATACGATAATTATAGTAATAATACCTAGAGTTTTACATCCCAAAACCACCATGTGATTATGAGAAACACCGTAGTGGAGGGCTCCGTAAATTTTGACCATCTGGTGTTCTTTAACGTGCACTCTCATCGCACAGTACAAAGGCCTCTACCATTTGGCTCTGCCGAAATGCAACCTTCGTGAGGAGTAAAAATATAGTATGAGTAATAAAGAGGTAAGGTATATGATCATTAAGTTTAGCTACCTTTGCAATTTTGTTTCAGCGATGTTTCACTGCATCCATGAACTCATGCTGCAGTATTAAACTGCTTTCTTCTATTTTTTTTTTGGAGCAGCTTGGTAGGCATTGCAAAACAAAAAGCTTAAGGCTCATGGCCACTCCACGACTTGATGCACTATGCACAAGATGCCACATTTCTTTAATGCATGGTTCTGCCCTTTTATCTGATATGAGGTTATCTTACACTTTTTGATTGTGCCGAATGCATGTATCAACCCCCCCTTTTTTTTTCTTACTAACTCGGCCTTACTCTCACGATTTGTTGGAACGAAGCAAGTTGTCTCCGAATGTAGACACGATCATTGAATGAAACAATTTATTGTGCTTTGTTTCCATTTCTTTTAGTTCCAGTATGAGCCTATTTGCGATGAAACCACGAGCACCTCAACTTGCGAAACCTCCCTTGCTGGATCAAGCTCACAGCACACCTAGTCAGGAACAGCCTTACGAAGGCCTCTACCAGACATCCTCGCTCTGAATTCCAACTAGACTGACTGAATCCTGGCTGGACGACATCCGGTTAGACTGGTCTCATCATCTGTGTGGGGCGTGCGCGGCCACTCTAGTCTACTTATCGCATGCGGCCTTGTTCCTAATGGACGACACAATGTTGTATTTCTCTATGTTTGTGTATTTTGTTTTTTGTTAAAATGACGATATTATGCTTTAACTATTCTGCAGAGTTCCTCTTTTCGAAGCATATTGAGCTACCATGAAAGTTGCTGTAAAATTTATAATTACGAATTGTGAGATTAACGAATGTTTGGAAGTGCATGTTTTCAGTGTTCATTTTTTCAAATCTCTGTGTAAACAGCGCTCAAACTTATACGGCTAGCATCTGTCTAGTGGCAAGGTGTTCTGTTTTGTGAACGTTCCAGCTATCTCTTTATAGGACAAAAAGTTGCAATATGCACTTTCAAAGAACACAAAAGAACTTAGAAAGTAAGTGGAATTGGTGAAACGTTTCTCCAAATGTGTTGCCTGTTTCATCTCAATCACATCTCTTTCTAATGTGCCCTTTCATGTATTTTTTACTGATGCTCAGTCATGGAAATTACTGCCAAAACAAGCAGCCAAGCCTTCTAAACTTTTCGGACTCGGTGTGGGCTACAGAAATCCACAAAATGCATCTCAATAAAGAATTTGTCGGCATATATGTAAGATTTGAACGAACTATAGTGATGCATTGCTCAATCTCTAAAATCTTATAAAGGGATGTTTAAATTCGGTTTAAAATCACTATGACTTTAATCAGAGTGAAAGGACCCTTGAACTACTGTTTTTTCTATTGCTTGGCACAGTTTTCCTTGGTTAATGTTAAGATATTTGGAAGATCTTCGGATTCCTTGAAAATTTTGATCTAGTGGCTGTTCACTGCCAGCAGTGCTTTTCCTTGCTCACAGACAATGTTCTGATGCCTTCTAGGTCATGATGACCTGCTCTTACAAGACCATATCAGCTCACTTGCATAGCTGTGCTCTTTTCCATAGATTGCATAGCTGTTAGTAATGTAAACAATGTTGTTAAACATGAAGTTTGACATTATAATGCTACCATGCTACGTGACATAAGCTGTGACATTGCACTGAGAAATTTTTAGATGTGATCGCTTTTAAGTTCGCTTAAGTACTGAACAGTCTGCCACTCTCTTTATCAATAGGGTCTACTCTCTCCGTGTAAGACTATGTATACAAAAAGCATCTCCAATGTGCAGTTGTGCCGTTCAAAGAGACGAATCGTGCTATCAAGGATGATAGAATAAAAGAAATTTATACTATTCAGACATTTAGCTCTTTCAGTTCTCGTTCAAGTGACCCACACATTTAATTTTTTTCACCGAAATCCCCACTAATTAGGTAAGATGTTTCGTATACTCTGCAAGTTCCATTTTTATTTGTACTGACTAGATCGTCGATGCTTAGACATCTGGCAGCTCTCAGAAAATGTGAGAGCTGTTAGCTATGTATGTTAGATTGAAATACGAGGTACACACTAATTACTTAAGCAGCAAATGACTTAAGTCTTTTGAACAAGCTTTTCACGAGGCTAGTTGAGCCAAAAGTGTGTACAGAGAACTTTCTTCGTGTCGTTTTGTTTCATACATATCGTGGCCCTTGCAACTAAGCATGTAATTTGTAAGCATCTGGGATTCAGGTGAGAGTTATTCAAGTGGAATATTGAGTTGTGTGAAGTGTTTAGCTTGAATCATCACTGTCATTAAGCATATGTGTATACAAAAACCTGTATAACGTTTTTGTCAGGAGGACTATTTTGGTCGGAAATCAAGGGTCTAATTCAATTTGTCAAGGTGCAATGACAAGTTGGGAATTTCGTGGGTGCTCATATTTTGATAGGGGAACTAGGAGAGATAGAGCGTTATTTTAATCGAACTAAAGCCTAATTACTAAAGTTCAACTATAGTTTATTGTTAAAAAGTTTATTTATCGATAAAAAGTTTGTTAACTAAAGTCTAATTGTTGGTGAAGTTTATTACTGCAGATTGTAGGCCTAATGATGGGATGAAGAGAAATATTAGCGTGCAAACAAGTGACGAAATTCGGCAAATATGGTTTCCACAAGCAGCAGAGATTAGGGATTAAAAAGACAAATACGATAGCTTTATCGAATCCATGTTTGTGATTATTGCATTCTTTTTCTCTGAGATAGCACGTTCTTGCATTAGTTCTCTCCAGCAACTTGGTTTATTTTTTTCTAGAACAAGCGCACAAGAACTGAGTAGAAAGAACTTACTGAGAGTTCTGTTCGTTGTGAATGTAAAAGATATTGCACTTAGCACTCTGCAACGAATGAGTACTTTGAATCTATATAAGCTATTTACCATTAAATACATTTGATGCGGTTGAGCATGGTACATGGGCTATAGTACATAGATTCAACAAGCTTTTCCCATTGGCTTTTGCAGCTTGACTGGATAGGTGATTTTTGTATCAAGGGTTAAGGTTGTTATACATGCTGTCATACGCCACTCCATAAGACGGGCAAGCTGACTATCGTTTACATTCAAAGTAAGGTATTTTACTTGCGCACTGCATGAAATGCTATAATTGCCATATGTTCGATGCATGTTAATCTTTTTCAAATCGTATGTTAATGTTCACAAAGGTTTGATATCTTCTCAGTCAATGGTAATTACCTCATCTTTCATAATCGTTGAAAGACTGTGTGTGAAGCAGTGATAGTAGTGCCTTATGCACCTCAATGTTATGTTGTAATGGTTTGCTGCATTTTGCTTGTATAGTATATTACAGTAATTTGCATACCATGTGGTAGCTTTTTTGTGAACTTTTAACTTTGTTGGCCTGCTAACCAAAGGCATTTGCAGAATGCTGGGTACAGCATGGGGTATTGTTGAAGTCCAGATTGGAAATTTCATCATTGCTGCAGGGTAGTAATACTGGTGAAGAGAGGATTTAGAGAAATCTTGCAAAATCTTGTGCTATCTGTTCATTTCTTCCTTGCATTTCACTTCCAACTTTTGTATTTTCCTTTATGCCAAATTTTGTGCTAAGCCGTTGGCATAAGACGTTGTGGGAAAGTGTAGAATTATGCAGTTAAAGCTGCTGACATGTATTTTTATATGGCTTTATGAAAGTGCATGCCTTGACAGTTCACCTGTGATTGAGAGCACCTAGCTGTCTTTAGTTTCTTCAAAAGGCACATCAGGCATGTAAAAGTGCGGGGTCAGACAGTTTTGAAGTTTTGGTCCATGTATGTCATCATGTTCAGAGTTGAAGAACTTCTAGAAATATTTGTGGAAATTCATCACCTTTCTGAGCTTCTACTGTGCTCAAATGATTAATCTGCTCGAACGAATGAGCAGTGAAGTGCTGTATTATGTTGCAGAATGTGACATAGTATACATAGTATACACATAGTATACTGATTTGATAAAGCTATACGATAGCTGTTGTTCTGACCTTATTTGTTGTGAGGCACCTTTCCTTAGACAGTTCACAATCATCACCAGTCTTAGTGCAGGGCAGCTGTGCATGAATACAATGCTACGAACTAGTGCTGTGGTAAGTGACATGCTAATAATGCAGTAGTACAAGGGTATGAGTACTGGGTATCACATATATCACTTTTGCTGTACTTAACTGCAAACTTTGGGTCATTCTTACTGAGAAGTTTGAAGATTGTGCAGATGTCTTTTATTGAACACAGTCTTCGATGACAAGATATGCCACACGAAAATATATTGAGTAAGCTACTTCAGCTATTCACTTTAGAAGTCTCAATAAAAGAATATTTTAAAGGTTCTGGTTTATATAAGAATTTGTGTAAAATGCATCACCGTGTCATTTGTGTACGTGGTGGTAATTTAGCTCACTGTAGTTATTGACCTTTATGCTCACCCTATGCTTGTGAAAAAGACAGCAATGTTTATATAGCCACGCTCACATTTCTTGCTCACTTTTCTTGATTCTTTCTCCACAGAGCACAGACTATTCCTGCTCACGCCCAATGAAAATATACCTTTGAAAGTAGCATTTGTATGGTGCAATAGAAGTGTACAAAAGAAATATAGAGGTACGCATAATATGAGAAGTTCCAAAATTTTTCTCTAAGCACTTGTTGCATAAGTGTGGCTTGTTCTAGAGCTGTTTATCATATCTTAGAGTATCCATCAAGTTATAGGCAGTTACAAGAAGTTTGCTTTTTGACGCAATATGACATAACCAATAGCCTCATTGCTGAATCAGGCGTATTACTATGCCATAAGCCTAAGCTCTTTGCTAATCTGAACTATAGTGTGTTTGTCTCCTGCAGGTGTTACATCAGGCAGACTTTCCATGTTCTGAAAATACCTGTTCACAGCTCAGAAGCCATCAGCTTAGCATACGCAAAGTACAAAACGTGTTATCACTGAAGGTTTCAGTGGCTTTCTACTGGTAAAGCTCTAAGTATACATTTTTTACAACTGCCACAGTGAAAGACATCTGTCATTATCAATGTCTGATTGAGCATTACAGTGTATACGTCAGTGCTTATTAGACTGCTCATTTCATGGCACTGGGAAAGTGAAAAATGGATGAGGATCAATACATAACTTTGTTAAAGTTTGGAAACCTCTTATCATTCGAGAAGATTGCCTTGGGTTGTACTGTGGGGCTTCTACAATGCCTTGTATGTTGCAAGCTACAGGAGATGAAAAAAACTATGTATACTCGGGGATAGAGCTGCTACAAATCCTACCGAAGAACAGAGTGAGTTCTTAAAGTTTTAGTCGGCCTTGAATGTTTTCACAACGAAACTTCTGTCTCCAACTTTACCTCAAGCATAATCTTCTAGTTACATAGGGCTACCCAGTTTCAGGCAAAAGCCAATGTAGCCTTCTTGCAACCTTGATACTAATGCGCTAGTTCAATGGTAGGACACTTGCTCACTACTGGTAGCTGCTCCTTGCACGCATATTTTTTTGTTGCAGACAGACTAATGAACTTTTCACAAAGTTTGTTTTCTTAACTGACGTAGAACCTAATGAAATCCTATATCTACATTTTGCTCAAGTCACTGATGTGCACAAGAGTTTATTGTCACTGCTATGAAAAAATAACGAGATACCAATAACTGAAGCAATGACATCATAGGATCAGTTACCACATTGATGTGTGTTTATTTCCTAAGCTTGTTCACTATCCCTGCCCCTTTTTGGTGCTGACCTTTTGTCTCCCCGATTGTTTTCACGCGGATTAATGCCTTAACACTCTTCAATGCCTAGTACCATCCGCGTTGAAATGTTGTGAAGCGCAGAATATGAGAAAAGATGTGTACGTTAAATGAGCTTCCGAGCAGAGCTGAGATTTGATACTTCTTTCTAGACCACTACAGTGCCATGTTGTTTAGAATATGATAATCAGTCCCCGCTTTGGATTTTTCACGCCCTCATATTGAAAAAGTTTTTAAAACAGACCTATTTAGTTACTTCTTAGATGCAGATACTAAAACATTCTGATGTCATAAACTTTAAGGATCATTTGAAAATTGTATGTTGTGTTTATGTTATTTTTGTGTGTGTAGTGCAATTTTTATGGCTGAAGCCAACACCTAAGCGGCGGAGTTCTAATTTGAAGATAAACTACTGATATATTTGATCTCGCGTGCTGCTACCATAACCTATTTAGGCAGAAGTACTTTTTGCGTTACTGGACATCATTATCATGTGCAATCTTACAAATGCAGTGAAAAAATGTCTATAAGGCCTGCCCACCCATTTTAGTTGGCAACATTTTTTAGAATGAAAATCTCATGGCTCATACCAAGTGCACTTCTTTAATTGTAGCATTATAGGCTGCTTAAAAAAAGATTTGAGAAGAAGCTGGGCCATGTTGATTTTTTTTAGTTATTTGTAAAAGAGGTTGAAAATAGAAGTGTTTGCTCATGCCATTGCTACTGTGTCCTTTTGTGTGCAAACAATCTGTCAAGTGATAAAAGTTCAACTATATCACAAAGTTTCATTGAGATTGTGGTTCAATGATTGGGGATGTATAATTATTTGTATACCATAATATACTACTATAGTACTTGACAACAATGTCCAACCACTTTATGCTTACAACGAAAATAAAATGTGATGAACATAAGTTCATGGCACATACAACATTGCTAAAACAATTGTTGACTTACAACATAGTTAAACTCAAAGTTCATAGTTTTTTTTTGTTTTTTTTAGCTTGTGAATGGACCAGAAACACATATTTTGGTTTTTCAGTGCTCTCTGCCATAATAGTAGCAGCACATATCTTGATAGAGCTTGACATTGAATGCTTGTGGTGTGGTTGTTGTGTTTATGATAGAGCTAACTGCGTTTTCGTTTTCACGTTTTGTGAATGGCTGTGTAAATATTCTCTCCATATGCAAAAAACTTGCATTGTTAGCGTAGGTGTTCTATTGGGTCCTGCATGCATCACGAATAGGTGTTATATTGCTTGAAGCACATCGACCATTGTTGTACCTTTTTTCGCCAATCAGAATAAAATGTGTTTGTTGACAGTTTTGTTTCTCATTTTCATTGCCACAGCAACATGAAAATATGGTGTTTGGTCATTTAACTTTCATAATTTTCCAACTGTTTAGGCTGTTCAAGTGAGGTAATGAAGTTTGTGCACTAGCACCAGAGGCAGTGCGAAAATTTGTATTTGTGGCGATGAGGTTTAAAGACAAAACAAATTTGGGAGATTCCATGTACCTTGCGTATCGACGTTATGCGAAGCATGCAGAGGGAAGTGACCGTGCTATAATTTTTTACTGAAGGACACGTAATGAAATGATGCTAAATGTATGTATAAATGATGCATGCACAGACATAAGTTAAAGAGTTGCAGATGTTTATAATAACCAATAGTTTGCACTAGCAAAACGATGCCAACAGGACCACGAATATAGCACCACCACAAGCGATAAGCTGATTCGAAGAGCTGGTACTGGCACGGAATGGTAGCCCTGGACACTGCTGCATAAATCAACTTCAGTGCAAGGCACCTAACAACGTGACAGCTGTAATATTGCAGTACATATGTAATGTTTATAAATAGAAATAGCCAGCACTGCAATCATCAATTGACGTTTCATGAATGTTAGGGTATATTTGAAAAGCAGTTCCGATACCTTGCGGGGATCTCTTATGAATATCACGCAGAATGCTTGGGTTCGATTCCTGCTGGGAATCTGACAATTATTTGCTTTCGTCGGGTCAACGCTGCTGACGTCAGGTTTTTTTTTTCAATGCCCACGCCCTAAAATTTTCCATGTGTGTTCTCGTCGTTCCTGGGCATATACTAAGTGTCTATCACCTGTGGCACATACCCACTCGCGGGTATGTGTCACTGTCTGGCGGGAAGTGTTTGACGACGTACGCGAAGGGGCTGTGACATTATTCGTCTTGCCTAGCGCGTCATATTCGTCAAACCACCTTACCCTCCCATACTAATTTTGGTTCTCGCCAAGGTAAGGGTGTGATCACGAGAGCACCCAGATGTGAGCGGCTAGATATTTAGATCTATACATACGTAGATAGACGCCAAAAGCGCTTTCAGTACGCAAAGAAATGACTATAGCATTTAATATGTCGGTGCAAATACTTGTTACCGTCCGATGTGTTCGTCTAAGCAGCAAACGACTTCACATATATGGATTTGACGATAATATTCCCCGCAAGACTTGTGGGAACATCCAGGGACGAGTTTGTTAGTAGAGTGGTGGAAAAAAGCCGTAAAGAGATTGATCGACGCAACTATATGCGAAACAAAGAGACAAGGGTCTGCATGAGCAATGGAAAATCTAGGTGAAATAGGCGAAATACTGCGCTATAAGATTGTGGTTATAAAAGGGAAAAGAAGAGAAAAGTGAGCCCCGTAACTGTCTACATCTGGTGCGACACCTCAACAGTAGCTCACAAGGGATAAGGGTGAGGAGAGATTAAAAGCATAGGATTAAAGATATATATATATATATATATATATATATATATATATATATATATATATATGTGTGTGTGTGTGTGTGTGTGTGTGTGTGTGTGTGTGTGTGTGTGTGTAGACAGAGAGATGCACAGGGACAGCGAGCGACGACGGCAAGAGAGAGAAAATCGGAAAGATGAAACATGGTCACAGGAGTCCGAGGGCGGGGCACCACTCGCGAGAGCTCTTGTCGGCGACAGGAGATGGCGTAGGGCTAATCCAGTCGGCCAGAGCTGCTCTGTCGTCGTCATAGGGGCTAAGAGTAAACCACGAAGGCCAACTAAGCATTTTCGAGTAGATCGTATGCTATGCCCTGAATAGTCTCACTGGCATACAACCACCTGTGCGGCCTGTACAAACAAACGCCGTGACAAGGAGAGCGAATGGTGGCCACGTGAGACTGAGGAAGACAGGGAAGGGTAAGGAACTGTTGGTGTTATTCTCCTTTCCGTTATGTTATTTCACACCGCTTTTCTATTCATTGACGGACGCTCTGTCGTGCTGCTTTATTAGTTTTATAGACTATTTCACTTACAACGTGTGGGTGTCGCCATGGGGGCGTCGATGTTTTTTGTTTGTTTTCGTTCATTGCGGTGTCAATTATTAAGGCCTTGAAATATCGTATGCACCAACTCAAGCGTTTTTATGCGTATGCGTCTACCGTAACGCTGTTCGTTTAGCTGTTAAAGATGCAGAACAGAAATGAAGGTTACAAACCAACATGGCGGCGCTGAAAGCTATCCCTAAAATAGAGATCTTGGCAATGAAGGCAAGGATACGGAGGCGAAGTGGGAGTGTGTCACCGCTCAAGAATATAGTGCCACAATCAGTGGCACTATATTCTTGAGCATATATTCTGAAGTATATATCTATAAACGTTGGCCACAATTGCTTCCGTGTTTTCTAGAGAAAAACACTTAAAAATATTTTTATGTTCTGCAGGATGTGGCTTATAAATAAAAGCAGCAAACACCAAGGAAACATTCATATTTCTTTTCCTTTGTACAGTTTCATTTCGTGTTTTTTTCACGCGTGCGAAAAAGTCTCACGTTTTGCGTGCGCCTCAATTCAAAATGGCTTCGTCTTCAAGGGAGCGCTGGTCGCCGTCCTACTATTTCGACGACTCGCCGAAGCAGCTTGTGACGAATTTCATTCGCAAATGACTGCACAAGCAGACTGAGCAAACGGTATGCACTGTTTTTATTCGAGCTCTGCCGTCATTCGAAACGCGAGCCCATCAAGACTGCATCGCGGATGAGTACATGTGCAGTACTACTTCACCCCTGTATGTTTCCCTTCATGGCAAAGAAACGAGGTCTGCGAGTATAGAAATAAACGCCTTCCCTCTCCTCGAATCACCATTACTACCACCACGCTATATAGCACACGTGTCAAAGCTAGCGCCAGACGTTTTGACATCCAACAGAGATCGAAAGCCCGACAACATGCAACAAATTCCTAGGGGACGTCGCTAGGGAAAACTACAAACGAATGTTTGGCGTATGCCGATCACAGCCTTTTCCGGTTGTGCATCGGGCATTGAAGGAATTTTTTTCCCTCAGTGGAAACACGAGAAGGATCGACGTTAATTTATCAGGTACTTTATTACACAAAATAGCGCGTACAGTCTTATGGTCTATGACATCGAACAAAAGCGTTTCTCAACAGAACGTGTCGCGCGAGTGTCGGTGAACTCACAACTTCGACATATACGCACAGATAAGACGTATAGCTCAGTCGTAATACACAGTGGTGGTATTTCAACGAAAGTGACCCCTTATTCTCATCAAAGAAGCAAGCGAAGCGCTGATATTTTTGCAAAAAGCTGCTGGTACACCAGCACAGAAAACATAGCAATGGCACCTCGCATCGTGGGCTCGCAGCAGCAACTGCCTAAAGTCGGCATAAAAGCCGGTGATGTTCTGTTTTCATTCCTCAGCGCCCACGAAATTTTCCCATTTTAAGTAATCTTTCTCTCGAATAGCTTTATTTATTTTTTATTTATTTATTTATTTAAGTATACTGCAGACCTTCTCGGTCCAAGCAGGAGTGGTACATAGGATATACAAACAATGATGTCACGTACAGAAAGGTACCGACACAATCCAAGAAGAAGAAAGAAAAAAACTATTGAAGTCCAAGTAGCCAAAACAACAGTGTCATAATGCAACGTTCAGATTCATGCTAAAAGAACAAACCAGTCAAAGGGAAAAAAACTGCTCACAATAAATCCCTATTCATACATTTGCGTCTATTGTTCAAAACTTATAGTTTTAATCTTTTCAATAAAGGATTCTACGGTGTCACAGTTCACAGCTATTAATGGAAGTTGATTCCAATATGCAATTGATGACGGAAAAACAGAGTTTTTGTGAATGTTGTTGTGACTTGTGGGCAGTCGTATTGTCTTATTGTGGTTAGTTCTCGTAGAATGCCTGAAAGGTTCAAGAAGATAGTCTGATCTGGATATGGCATATTTCCCATGATAAAGAAGATACAGGAATTTAAGTTTAGAATGTATTCTCCGTTCGGAAAGGCAATGAAGTTCGGCTCTTTTACGCAGATTAGTAACACTGGTATACCTAGAGTAATCGGAAAACACAAATCGAACTGCTAAGTTTTGCACTCGCTCAATTTTTCTAATGAGAAATTTATGATGTGGACTCCAAATTATATCGGCGTATTCTAGTGCTGGTCTAATCAGGGTCTTATAGGCGGTTAGCTTTACTGCAGGGGGAGTGTTACGGAGTTTTCTCTTTAGGAAGCCCAATTTACCTTGCGCTTTCGAACAAATAGCAGTTATATGTGGATCCCAATTAAGGTTGGATGTTAATGTAACTTCCAAATATTTAACTTGATCGCTTTTGGTAATTTCTAAATTGTCTATTGTATAAGCAAATTTGAGTGTTTTTTTCTTACTCGTGAAAGTTATGGCAACGGTTTTCCGCGCGTTCAATGTCATTCCCCACTGGGAACACCAGGCTTGAATTTTTGTTAATGAGTGATTAAGGTTAATCTGGTCCTCAGTTCGATTTACCCTTGTGTACACAACGCAGTCATCTGCGAAAAGCCTTATTTGAACGGGTGAGTCAATGACCATAGGAATGTCGTTGATGTAGATAAGAAACAAAATTGGTGCTAAGACTGATCCTTGTGGTACGCCCGAAAGGACGTTCAGGTGGTTTGACGTGTGGTTGTTCACAGCGACAAACTGCTTGCGGTTGTGTAGATATGATGTTATCCATGTAGTAATATTATCTTCAATACCAATTGCATGCATTCCTGCCAGTTTTCCTGCAGACACAAAACGAAACTTTCCTGGAAGAGTGACTTCAAAACGCTGATCCGTTTTCAGAGTTAATATGAGGAACTAGGGATACACGTTGTCGTGGTGTTTTTTTTCCTAAATATTTACAATACAACGTTCTGCACTCACAACCAGCGGCCGATGGGTTGGTCACGTGCCACACCACCTCCCCGAGAAATTTGTTTACTGTCATAGGATGCCAGACACAAAATGACACTCGATCGCACGTGCTTACCCGGCCCCCACAAAGGTACAAGACATGCCCTGCACGTCGTGGACTCCGTGTCTTGAAGCATCCTTTTTTTTGTTCCCTCTAAGATTAAAGCTGAAAATATCTCAGAAAAAGGAAAATATTTTGGTTTGAATGACCTGTTGACAGGCCTGCTAGAGCAAAAATATGGCTCCTAAGATATCCCGAAACCTTCATTTGGGTCGTCCAGAGAATTCACAATGTGGCGGCCAGGTTTAGCCTGCCTGTTCCAACGTGGGAGTGGTCTACTGAGTGCTATAGTTGAGTCTCTCAACACTCGTAAAAAGTTCATCCATTCATCTAATATTCTAGGGACCGTAGCAAAGACAGCAGAACGTATTGTAAAGCTGTGATATCTAGCACCACGTGGCCATTTCAATGCGGCGGAGCTCGCTTACTCATATGTATCTTACTGTGACACGAGATATTATTCTAGAAGCAATGACGATATAGAAAGGCTGGCGAATTGATAGACGAAACTGACAAAAAAATCAATTTTCCGAAAAGGGGCATTCAGCTGACATGCCAAAAAGCAGGTCCCATGTTTATGCAGTAATATTGCATATCTGGGCTCTTGAAGTTTGTATACTTTTTAGATGTGCAGCGAATGTTTGTGGAAATTGTAGAATAAGTTTTTCGAGTCATTTGTTGTAAGCATTCGTTGTTATTACTTGCGGTGTAGATGGCTGCCCAATGAGACAACCCTGTAGTTACACCATGCGTATGCGTTTTTTTTTTCACCTTGTTATTTTGCATTAACAAAGAGACAATAGTGAAAAAATAATGAAATACTATAGACTATAGATATAACAAATGGTAGCCAATTTTAAACTCCACAGGTTTATTGATAGTTGAGAAAATCAGTGTCAGAAGGGTTATTTTAAATTTCCCGTTGACATATTCAACAACGTTTTGCAACCAACGAACCAACCAATCGGTGATGACATCACCAGTTTCAATTCCTCGTTTTTTTGTCGCATTTCCATAACACAATCTAAACGAAATTTTCTGCAGCGTCATAGATGGATCTTCTGGCTCCTTCAAAGCACAGCGCATTTTATTTTGATTGATTAGCCCCTACACAGGCTTTAGGAGGCACCTTCCAATTCTGAAACGTCGCAGGACCAAATAAAATTTATTTAACCTCACAGTGATATGCGGAGGAAATTCATCGTGGCGTCTGCAATGGTATTTTCTTTTTGCGCCAAGCATCTTCTCGTAGGAACTATAACACTCGTGGTATCGTGAAAGAGTACTCCACTAACACGAGAACAACACATTTTTCTCTTTAAAATCCCGGGAAACGAAAATTCAGCACCACAATTATTTAGTTATCTCCACTGTGCCGTCCTCATAATGTCCTCCAGCGTGGGTGTGGGCCATAGACTCAAAGAACTTGACCTGACTTGACTCATGAACATACTAACACCACCACCACCGTCACGCGCTGGCCGCAGCGATAATTGAAGAAGAAGAAGAGTTCTGTCGTCTCGGTCGGTCGAATGCGGTCTCCCCGTCGGACTCCGTTTCCGCCGCCTTCCTACCATGGCCCAAAACCAGAACGTGAACGTGTGGCGTGCCACGCACATCCTCCTCTACACCTGCACCATCGGGACATCGCTGGGCGCGCTGCTGAGCTACCGCAACATGAACTCGAGCCTGGAGACGACCATGAGCAAGTGCATGCTCTACACGCAGCCCTGGGTCGAGCTGAACGTCAAGACGGGCAACTGCCGCATCGACCTGGCGCGCACCGAGTGGGGCGGCGACGGGCTCTGCAACTTCGTGCTCTTCTCCATGCTCGCATCGTTCGTGTACGGCGTCATCTCCGTCTGGTTCTTCATCATGTGCGCGCCCAGCCGGAACTTACCCGAGGACGACAGGTGAGGCAACCTTTATTTGCTGCGAAGCTCTGTGTGCCTAGGCTCATGGTAGATTTCGTCCACGGACCGCTCAGGGATGCCACTGCTCCTACAATGCTGCAGGCTCATCAGTTGATATGTCAATGGGTCCGGTCATGATTGAACTTGTCTTAGTTATGTTTTTTTCGGTCAACGTCTTGTGGTGCGAAAACAATGTACATGCTATATTTACATCATCATCACAATCATCACCAGGACTGCACCACATGGCAGAAAAAATGGCCTCTCCCATTTTTCGTCAACCAGTCTTGTTCTGTACTTACTGCGCCACAGAATAATAAAAAATCCCCACGCAGAGCTATACCCCACTAAATACGCTATGTCTCATGATTTCACTAACTGAGAATCGGGAAAATAATGAGCGATTTTCTTGGAATTACCAGCTTAGAGTAATTCATAACGAAACTCGATTTGTGTGGCTGCAAAAGGTAGTTTATTATACATACCGCATTGCAGCAAAACAATTCATTATCGCTGCTGCCAAGTCCTGCGCGCGACTACGTCCGGCGACGCTATAGAATGTTCACTGAATCATCTATTATAGCTGACCCACTTAAAGTTAATGTGAATATTAACTATTCCTACATGTGGGCCAATGAAGAGCATGCCACTATGAATTTGATGTGAGTGTTTAGTTTTCCTGGGCACAGGCTCACCCAAATGAGATTTGACCATTCACTCGTTTGGCTGCTGCGTTTCGCACTGTTACGGCTATGTTTCGAGAGAGAACGGATACACTTCACAGGCATTTACACACACGGCGTGTATCAGGAGTTATCATTCATAACTTCTCTCTTTTAGAAATCGGCGCGATGCGTTCGCTCAAAGCACGTGGAGGTGTCGCATCTGAGAATTCTGCAAAGTATTGTCGGGGAAGTTCATTGTGTTGACAGTAAAGAAGAGCTTGCTACAGAGAACAATGCAACAGGAAAGTGAAATTATATTTGTTCTTTGATGTGAGCGCTTGTTTACAGTCTGAATACAAACAAGCTTATTTCGCAACTTTCTTCCTCCAAAAAAGTGAGATATCCTACGAAACAACGCCGCAGGAAAAGCAGGCGTGGTGTTGATTGTAGACTAACTTTCTTGTGGAATAAAAGCAGTGAAACAGTAAAGCGAAACTGCATTATTTGCTCTTTGTTTCTTAAGGTGAGTGTTTGTATAGTGCCAGGACATTGACATAGTTCCCTTGAAAGCATTTGCATCCCTAACAGCTCGTATTGTGTGCTGCAGTGAAGCATGAGAATTTTTTATTGCACCTGAATAACGTCTATGCGAACGATGTTATATAAGGAATGGTGTAAGAAATCGGCAATAAGAACATCGTCGTCATGGTGATCGGTATTACTGCAGTGTTATTTCTACTGCTAGTCATTACGTTTTTGAGCGATGTATAGTGACGTTGATTTCGAATCACAGGGCTCCTATGTGCATACTGATTGGAAAGGCCTTGAACGTTTGCAACTTTTTGACACCACCTAATTACCTACCCTATCTCATTTCTGTTTGTTACATTCATCTGAAGCAACGACTACTCTATATACCGCGAGTTGCCGCCGATAATTCTAAAACCACTTTTTAATAATCTTTTCGGGAAGAGGCGACTTACTAGTGTCGCCACGTCATTGCAGAGTAAGTAAATCAGTGCACGTGAAACGACACAATGCTTTCATTTTAGTGTGTAAACATCATTACAAAGAAGCGTGTCAGAAGTTTTGTTTTGTATTAAAACTTGACACGTTGAAATTTTTGTATAATAATTTGAAATGCTACTAAGTGAATGCGGAAACCATAAGAAGCAAGAAAAATTGGAGGAAAAGAACGGCAGGGAGGTTAACCAGCCTATAGGCAGCTGGTTGTTTTCAAGGTGTTCTATATGCCAAAATAACATGTCTGATAATTTTCGCAACTCTTGTTCTGATGCCTGTGCATCTATGTACGTTATAGTTGCGTGTGGACATACTATCATTATGCTGAGGATCCAGACACTTTGACAATGTATTTGTTTTAGCATAAGTCATTTAATAGGGTTAATTTCAATTCGATAATCACAATATACTCGTCACAGAGGGTGACACTAGCGTTGTATTGTGGAAATTAAGGCACGTGCATAAAGCAGTTCCTAAAACGCGATTCTTGATTTCTCGCAGCTTCGTGCACGTGTGGAAGATAGTGCCACCGGCCACGGCTCTGAGCACCATTCTCGCGCTACTCACTCTCATTATGGCCTGGCTGGTGACCAGCGGTGTCAACACCTTTTTCTACGAGCTCGAGTTACGCGTCCTGAGGAAGTGAGCACGGCTAAGACAAAGACAGTTCTGCTTCAGAACAAAACTAAGCCAACAACGATAAGTGTTTCTAGCTTCCAGAAGGTTAAAATATTGATATTATGTGGGGTTTAACGTCCCAAAATCTTGATACGAGTACGAAAGAACGCCGTAGTGAAAGGACGCCGCAAATTCCAACCGGTCGGAGTTCTTTAAGGTTACCTAAATATAAGTACATGGGACTCAAACACTTTCGCCTCCACCAAAAATGCAGCCGCCGCAGCAGAAACTCGACGCCGCGACACTCGCATTAGCAGTCGAGTGCTCATAAACACTAAAACATGGCGGCGCGACTGGATTTTAGAAGGCTGCTTGAATGAAAGATGGTATTTGTGATATTTCAAAACAAGGAACTTAGTTAGTTAGTTATAGTGGGTTGCTAGACGCATGTTAGTTATATTGAGTTTCTAGACTCATCAGCTTACTTTGGGTATCATACAAACATTTACGAAAGTGATATCAAAGAGGATGAGACGAACGCCAGATTTCAGCCAACCTAGACAGGACCGCCTTTGGGAAGGGATTTTTCTTACTACGGTCTGCATGCACGTGGCCAATAAGGTAATACCTATGCTCAATATGGCGTACAGTGGCCATAAGATGACTCGATCCATTTATACATTCCAGGAAGACTTTCAATTACATTTACTGAGGCCTTAAAGACAATGCTATAGTGGTCGAATGTTTCATTTTCTCATCCCCAGCCTTCCGCTCATCCCCAGCCTTCCGTTTGTACACTACTGCTTGCAATGAAAACATTCCCGGCCACGCAGTGAAGTTATTGCCGTAGTTTCAACAGACATAGCTTTTGGATACGCTTTGCCATGATAAGGCCTTCTTACTTTTTCACTTCGCCAAAATGAAAGTGACCATCTGACTTCTGAAAATCTGAATGGTTCTGACTAGCTTCCACAGTTGTCGAGGTGACATCTCGTAATGCATGATGTAACGTAATTTTTTTTTATAAATCTGTGGCTGGTCGAATGGCAATGAAATGAGCAGAATGGAGTTCTTGTTCGTACTTCTTGTGCAGTCCATTCCAAGCGATTTCAATGAGGTGCTCTCTCTAATACATTCTCCGTGCGTTCTTTATAAGTGCCGAAACTTGTTTTCGAGATGATTCATGGGTGAATCAGTGGTAGTCTTTTTCTGTGGAAACTTCTGTTTCAGTTGGCGAAGCTTCTCTCAACACTTGAAGTGAAGACTGAGAACGTCTTTTCCTGGAAGTTTGCCGATGAGGCACTGAGGCCATCAGCCTCTCAAGCCGCTTGGTCAAACCTTTCACCAGCAGGTGTTTCAAGCCAGAATAGTCCACCAAGGTGTCCATGTTTAGGCTGATGTCTTGAAGGGTTCCACTGCCTTGTACTGATGTCCAGAATATTGACTAAGGATGCTTATTCTTTGGCGTGCAGCAAGAGAAGCTCACGCAGCCACTGAATTGCCGCACAGTCTTGAATGCACTGTTGACTGTGTGGAACCACCGCCTCTGGCAACTCCTCTGCATGGTTGCCCAGGCCATTCAGTTCATGCCTCTTTTGTCGTCTGCTGACTCAGACGTTGTATATTGTTGTATAGTGTTTGTATTATGCGTCTTCTGCTCTGTCCTATCCTGTATGTGTTACACTTCGGATACTAAGATAACCAACAAGCCCGCCGTGCAACTTTAATGATATAATGCGTCCTGCAGACTTTTTTTATTTTCTAAGTTGAGCCTGATGTTGTTCAACTCACTTTCGCTTCGTCTTCAGCAGCATTAGTGTATTTTCTCTTCTGGTGAAAGAAATTAGTGCTTTTCGTATGCAAAAAATTAGCAGCTCTACCCTATCAGGAGAAAATATGTCAAGCGAAGGTTTGCGAGGACGATCCTAACGTGTGGCTTATCTTTGCAGAACAACAGATAGGTGGTCGAATGAGTTCGCGTTCGTAAAGGTTGAAAGACAGCGCTAGAACAAATACAAAGAAAGGCGGGGCATGCGCTTTTTTTTCTTTTGCTTGCTTCAAAGCCTACGTTCCTGAGAGATGCGGGGAGCGAAATATTTGTTCGAGTCTTCTCTGCTTGTGAGACCCCTTTAAATCCTCACACCAAGGGCGCACACATTTTTTTCCCGTCAGTCCTCCCGTTCCCAGTGAGCTAGCAGCGTCGAAGAGGAGATGCTTTGTATGGCTAAGCTCGGACTCATTCCTTATCGTAGTCTACGAGAGTGAGGTGGGGTGTAATGCGCGACTGTAAGTGGGGATGGCAGCGTACAGAGGATTCTCGCAATGGCCTCAACTACGCTTCGTTGGGCAAAGGGCGTTGTCTTATTCTCATTGCTGTACTGTCATGGTATCATCTCAAGACCCTCGCTAGCTTGCCTTGGTGCTCACCAGCAGTGGGTGAGGAGAGTTTTAGCGAACGTCGCCAGCTTCCCAGAGTTCGCTTCACTTGAAAAATATCTGTTCAATAAATGATCTAAACGGGCTGGTACGTAGAACACTATTGTGATGTTGATCTTGTATGCTGTAGTTGGTGTGCATTGTGATTGCACCACTTTTAGGCGCACACCTTCGGATTTTCAGCTATTTCGTAAAACGTGCTGTAATTCCCCGTCCCTTTAGGGTACATAACGTGTTGCTTTCATGCGCTGAAATAAAGGAGCGGATGTTTCTCTAAGAGTATTTTTCAAAACAAGAACACGGATTGTGTGGAGTTTGACATTAGTACATTACGTACGGGGACAATTTTATTCAATTTACTGAAGTTTATTTTGATTGATTGGTTTTTCCCCAGTTGCACCACCCGTGCGGGCGGACCCGCGGCCTGGGAAAACGATAGCGTGGCCACGCTCTACAACGAAAGACTCACGACGCAGGTGCGTTACAAGGAGAATACAGATAAAACATGGACACGCAGGCGTAATACGAACGGAATGTGCACTTCATGGTACATTCGTGGGAAATATCTATATATAAAAATGTTTATACCTACATTTTCAGACAAATTTTGGCACTCAATGAAGCAAATAATTTTTTTCTTCTCATCGTTCAAAAGATAGAAACGATGGCTCAGTCATTCACGCTTTCTGCCGCAAATAACGCATCTCCCGCTGAGAAAGTGAAACACCTTTGAACTCTGGGCAACATAATCTGCAATTCAAAGCCACTGCGTTCGAAGATTTCGTGCAGCCTACGCCACGAACGCCTAAATCAGAGTCACGCTTCGGAAGAGCAGAAATATGCACACCGTCTGGAACCTATATCTCAGAAAACATTCTTTGCACAATGGCTTTACATCCATACTTCCATTGTAATTTCCCGCGAGTGAATCCATATGGTCCCATTTTTTTACGAGGATGCACACCAAGAATGTGACGACACGAGCACCGACTCTCAACACAAACTGTCGTTACAATTGTGGTCTGCGTCCTCGTCCTTTCTTGTTTCTTGCGCTGTAAGCTCATCAGAAATGAAATTCCACCTATACTAGCCGTAATTTCTCTTCTTGTTCAGTATATCTGCTCCTCTATGGCAGCAGTCTTCAAACTATTATTATCTGCTAGAAAACAATCGTGAACTCGCGTATTTTCTTATCATAATATTTCTCTTACAGATCTTCGTGTGGCTTATCGTGCTCTGTTGGGTAATGGCGGCCTTGTCCCTTGTCTGCCGCTGCTTGACGGCTGCCGACTTTGGCGGTGGCGGAGTGGTGAGAAACTGAGTCTTTATGCTAAATCTTAATAGTTCAAGAACTAAAACTAACAGCCCAAACACAGAACACGCCCCATTCATTCATTACGAATAGATCATCACACTGGTGCTGAACGCAAATACAAGATGGTAAACAAATAATTCAGGGACCTCTGTCGTATCATGTTTGGGCTGAGTACCATTATGAATGATTCGTCCCAGCCCGCCCCAATCGCAACTGCTGTGAATACAATCGTTTCATTCCATTATGAACTGTTGACTTACAAGACAGATTGATGTAGCGAATCCATGAAAATGTAGCTAGGTAGGTATTATTTTTGTAGTGGTAAGAAAAACTTATACCTCATAGGTGTAGAAAGAGCAGGGTTGGCGGTAATGCGTGAGAAGTAACGCCGTAACCGGTAACGCTACACTTTACATTTGTCGGTAAGTGACGTACTCGTCACAGTTTCGGGACTGTAACGATTCGCGTACTTACGTTACTATTTTTCGGTGACGTATGGTGTCCCGTTACCCATTACCGTTTTCTTATTTTTTCTTTTTTGAAACGAATAGAAATCTAAGGCTATCGAAATCGAGCATATTCTTTAAAAGCATTACTATTTTCTTTCTTTTCTTTCTCTTGTGTTGAATTGATCAAAAAAGTATTTCAAAACGATCTATTGCTAAACATGTTGACATTATGAACTAATTCGTTTATATGCATCGCATCGCTCGCTTAATGGCCCATCCCCTATGATGGGCTGTGCCAGATTCAAAGGATCGATCAATCAAATTGATCAATAAATAAATCAATCATTTGTAGGTTAAATTTTCCCTGAGCTTGACTCAACCAATTCAGTTTGTCCTAGTGTCGGACTGTTGCCTGCTTGCCAGGTATGAACAAAGAAAGAACATGCGCAATCACTTTTGTTTGTGGAAATCGTGGGTGGAAATTTCTTATGGCAAGCCGTATCCCAGCCCATATAAGAGACAGCCGGCAACTTCAACCGGCCTACAGGTGCGCTGCCGATAGAGTCTGCGTCAGCGGAAATTTGCACAGCATAGAGAACAGGCGTGACCCAATGGCAGGAAGAAAAGTCTTAAAAATAAAGCGAGACGCGAAACAATGATTTTTTTTCCCTATAGCGCAAAAAGAAACACAATTCGTTTGCTTTTAACGTGGTAGTTTCATTGGCATCCCTCAGTTTCCCAACGATACCAATGTCCCACGAACGCCCCACCATGGTGGTCTAGTGGCTAAGGTACTCGGCTGCTGACCCGCAGGTCGCGCGATCAAATCCCGGCTGTGGCGGCTGCTTTTCCGATGGAGGTGGAAATGTTGTAGGCCCGTGTACTCAGGTTTGGGTGCACGTTAAAGAACCCCAGGTGGTCAAAATTTCCGGAGCCCTTCACTACGGCGTCTCTCATAATCATATGCTGGTTTTGGGACGTTAAACCCTACAAATCATTAATGTGGCACGAACACCACGGCTTCCCACAGTTACAGCTAGGTAACCACTGGTAACTACACAGCTGGCATGTTGGCAGCTTTTCTCCTAACTGTGGTTATTGCAAACGGGTGACTCCGTGAGTGATCGGCATGGATCCGAAAATGAATATTTTAGTTCTGATTGAGTGTTTAATATTTCATGCGTATGTCACTGAACATCTTCAAAAGGAACCTTGTATTCTTTTAAGCTCTTAATTTACAAGGCATGAGATCTGGACTATCGTCCACATGGTGGGACCAATTTCAATACTCGGCGCCCTTGAAATTTAGTGAAGATCCAACACACATATTAGTGTTACAAAGCAGACATTTTGCGTATAAAATGTATTTTCGACAAAGAGTAAAGTAGCATTGTCAAAAACTTGTAAAACGAAGGAAAGTAGGTTTAAAAAATGGCTCAATATGCGTAGTTTTATGATAGTTGCTACAGAACAGTTGCTACAAAGTTGATAAGACTTCTGAACCCTGTCTCGAACACAAATTTTGCTTCTTTATCGCTGCAGCGGCAGCTGCATCTCTGATTATTGAACTCCTCGTGGCAGTGAAAACTTGCGCTTGCAAAAGATGAAACAACATTAAAAATTAAATTAAACAACATTAAAAAGTATTATCGGTTGTCTTCAGACTCCTGATTGAGCGAGGCTGATCAAGGCATTTCTTTAATACTACAAAATTTGCACATCCATTTTGCTTGTAAAAGCACGCCAACACTATAGACATTTTCTGCGTAGATCGTCTGTCTATGCGCACCGGCGTCGCAAAGGCATGCGCCGTGTTTTTTTCTGGCCAAAACAGGAGATAGGTGCAGACCAAGGGACATCTGTTGTCACAAACGTGTTTATGTCTCCCCCCCCCCCTTCCCAAAGAAAAAATGAAGCGCCAGTGCAGTTCTCCGATAGTGCCCATACTGGTGCCCGACAGGCTATTTTCGGAGGCCAAGGACCACCAGTACCGATTTCCACGAGCTCCACTGAGGGTGCAGCTCGGATAAGGAAAAGGCTGATTACTGTAAAGTTAACGAGGATTCAGTCATGTTTGTCAATAGTGCGCATGATTGAATATCATATGGCGTATTATGTCCCATCGACAAAAAAAAAATGGCTTCTCGCTGTTACAGTGCCAAAAGCGATCACACGCATTTAACTCTACATGCATATTTAAGCTTCTATAACACTGGTAAGGCCCAGTGCACCTGTACAAATATTTCTTAATAAACGAAAATTGGGGTATATATCTTGTTTGGCTTAGAAGTGATAAACATAAACTCAATATTTGTAAAATTCCTTTTCTGGCTTCCTGCAGCAGACACATTCAATAAACGTTATGCTTTGGAAGTAACGGCAGACATAACGTGCTTTACTTTTTCTCGGTAATAGTTACGCGTTATGTTTTTATGGAGGTAACTGAGAGCGGTAACGCGTTCCTTTGATTGCGATAGCATATATATCGACCCTCTCGGCTGTATTCTGTCGCTAACGTCGGCGTTGACATTGGCGTCTGCGTCACTCACACAAACACACACACACACACACACACACACACACACACACACACACACACACACACACACACACACACACACACACACACACACACACACACGCACACACGCACACACGCACACACACACACACACACGCACGCACGCACACGCACACGCACGCACGCACGCATGCATGCATGCATGCACGCACGCACAAACACACACACACACACGTTTACTTATTTAGATATATGCATGAAAGAAAATAATCCAGAAGAAGACTCAGACTCGTGCGAGACGTTAACCACTGAGCTATGAAGGAACACCTCCTGAAACGTTCAAACGGCTAGCTATTTATATCTACCACTTGCCGCTGGTGACGGGCATCTCGGGGGGAACTATCGTGTTTTCGATATTACCGGTAAGGCGCCCAATGAGCGCGCGTCGCCACATCGTCACGACGTGGTGGCGCGCGGTCTCATCTCCCACGCGTACTCTGCCTCGCGGAGATGAAGGAGATGGACGCTCACTCGCGCGCCCTTATCTCGCGGTGGGGAGGATCGTACGTCTTGGCTGGCTTTGGGCTTTCACCGGAACAATTGTGTTGCAGTTACCGGGAGCACAAAAGTCACTGCAATGGTTACACAGTCCTCGTTTGCGAAAAGGGCACGCTTTTCAGGCACAGCGAAGTAACAATTGAGACGCTTATTTGCGTTGATCTGTACCTGTGAGTACGTTTTTTGCGTCATTTGTGCGTGAGCTTGCCGAATGTGGTCCACCCCATTTTTATTCTTCTTGTTAATCCACTCGCATGGTTCGGCTCCGCGGTTACTGCCTGTACTAAGTAGACATATTTATTTGCAACTTCCAGCGTCTCTGCATCTATGGCAACGTGCTCTTTTCTGCCGAGACAGTTGCACATTACTTCAGTCAGTTTTGTGCATACTAATTTTGAGACCTACTTTTATGCTTTCCGTATCCAGTCAAGTAAACATTCTTCCCCTTAGTTATTCATCAAGGCGATGTCATCAGCGAACGGCAGGTTACTGAGATACTCTCCGTTAACTCTTATTCGTAACTCTTCGTAATCTAGGGTCCTGAAAGGACCAAGAAGTATTTCGTGCAAGCTACTCCACAATATACTGTATTCATACTATCAATCAGGTTATAGAAAAATGCCCTGAATGTCACCTATACATAACCTTCATGGATTACGAGGAGGCGTTTGACTCAGACATCAGCAGTAGTGCAGGGTCTACGGAAGCAGAACGTCAAAGACCCCTACCTAAACATACTGGGATAAATCTACAGTGGACCAACAGCCACCATAGCTCTTGATAAAGAAAGTGACGGGATCCCAATAAATAGTTTGTAAGGCAGGGAGACAAGCCTCTCCAATTCTATTCACTGCGTGTTCACTCCTTTAGTAACCGTATTAGGTTATATAATTTTAGTGGACTACAATTAGTCAGATTGAACTTTACATCTTTTTTGTTACATCTGCCTATATATTGCCATGTCCCAATGATTCTCTTGCAAAAGTATGGGATAAAAAAAAAATGGCCCGCAGCTTCCCTCGGGGGAACACTGAGGAGGATGCGGACCATATAATTGGTTAACGGGGTGTTAAAGTGCGACTTACTTGGGTCGATGGCTAAATTGGTTAACGTGGTTGTGAAATGGGGTGTTAAATTGCGACTTACTTGGGTCGATAACTAAATTGGTTAACGTGGTTGTAGGAGGGGGTGTTAAATGAGTGAACACGTACACACGTATGCGAAAGGGCGGCGCTGGTCGAAGGGACGTCGATCATTGTGTTTGTGGATTCGTTGGAATTCATTTCACCGCGACCTTGGACGTCGACGCGCCGTACAAACCAACCGACGAGCGGCAACTGAGCGAGCGAGCGCCGACCTTGAGTATATACAGCACGACGGCGCATGCACTGTCAGCTGTTGAATGTTCTCGAAGCGCGACGCCACATGCGCGTCCACTGGAGAATCAGGAGAATTGTAGATGTCGAACGCGGTGTGTAGAGGAGGAAGGGTGCACAGATGGTGGAGGAGTGAAGCGCGCGCGGTGTGTAGAGGAGGAAGGGATGCACAGATGGTGGAAGAGTGGGCGACGGCGCGACGGCGCATGCGCGCGCGTCAGCTGTCGAATGTTCGAGAAGCGGTGCGGACGGCGCGGACGGCGCGGACGGCGCACTACAAGGCGCGAGTATAAGATGCTCCGCATCTAAAACGAGGTGGCGTTCTCTGTGTCGCGACAGGACTAACGCCTTCTGCGGCGCAACGCGCAGATGCTTACTACTCTGACGTTATCTCCGCTCGGCACACTCTACCGTTACTCGTGGCACACTCTCACCACAATGGCCGATAACTACTACATGTAACTACAGGGGTAAGCGCTCGTCACAGCAACATACTCATAGAGAACAAATCACATCATACTCGCATGTGATCATACTCACTTGAACATGCTGAAAGGGTCACATGTGATCATATGAGTGTGCGAACTCATACGGACAGGTCACACATGAGAACACAGACGCAAACGCACACACTGAGTTTTGAGACTTTGGCATGGCTGATTTTACCTCTAGCAGCAACTGGAGGGCTATTCATTCATTCAGTTTGGGATCGCACACTATGTACTAAGAGCCATAAAATTGAGAAGCTTCATTGATATTTTTCTACAAATCATCCTGTGCGATTGTATTTGCTGCTATGTTCTAACATCTAAATGTTCTAACTTCTATTCTAATGAAGTCAATAAAATTTAAATTCGTCCAAACTTATCTTAAGAGTGTTACTAATACGGCAGAACATACAGCAGCATCTACGAATGATCTGTCAATGTAGGAGGCTTTGTACGTACTTAGTTGAAAACACGAAGAAAGCTTTCCTGATTAGTGGCGACACAATTTACAAGCTTTATTGCTGCTGGCTGCACCAGCGTCTAACGCGATATGGGAAGAAATTGAGGCTGTAGAGGAAAACGAAATTTGCAGCATATCCACGGAGTGAATGATGGAGAGTGGGGCGAAGCATTCGTCCGTCCATTCGTTCGTGCTTCCGTCCGTTCATGCGTCCGTCTGTGTGACCGTCCATGTGTCCATCCGCCCGTCCATGCGTGCGTCTGTTCGTGTGTCCGTCCCTGCGTTCGTCCATGCATCCACCTCTGCGTCCGTTCATGCGTCCATCCATGCATCTGTCTGGGTGTCCGTTCGTCCATCTATTCAACACTCCAAGTACCACCATCTCACATCTTTTCATCATATATTCCTCATATAGAAGCACCGCCATCCAGCGGACATTCCAAGGACTAAACGAGAGGTGGTACACGCACACTTTCTTACGGCATGCGCTTCGGGTCTACTTCCCACCTTTAACCACCTCGAGTTCATGGTATATACTAGTTCACTGTATTCATGGCACTGTGGCCCGACGCTCGCTAAACCTTTCTAAAACTAAGGAGGTTACGCCCAGTGAGTATAACGTAGCAACCCTTTCTTGTCAGATAGTGCTCAATGTACATGCCAATGGCTGCTAATGGTAAATGAGAGACAGGAGAATTTGGCTTTTACTTTCTTACGGCTCGCGCTTCGTATCTACTTCCCACCTTTAACCACCTCGAGTTCATGGTATATACTAGTTCATTGCATTCATGGCACTGCGGCTCAACGCTCTCTAAACCTTTCTAAAACTAAGGAGGTTACACCCAGCGAGTATAACGTAGCAAGCCTTTCTTGTCAGATAGTGCTCAATGTACATGCCAATGGCTGCTAATTGGGATCGCAGCGTGCGCGTTAACCGAAAGGCGAATGCTCCTGTCTCTCATTCCCCATTAGGTGCCATTGGCATGTACATTGAGCATTTTTTTGTTATTGTGCAACAACGCACAGAAGAAATATCTTACCGCCACCACCTTAGAGGTCAAAATGTTATACTTGTTACCCACTACAACGGCTATGAGGGTGCCGCTATAAGGAGCTTCGCCCCTAAAAAATGTCGGCATACAAGTGGTAAAACGTGGACACCCTCAACTGATTACGTCAGTGTTCATCACTGTCAAAGTCAAATTTATTAGGGAGCTCATGCCGAGTCTTGAAGAATATATATATGTATACAAAGCTACTCTATAGACACTCTCTAAGGCTGTTGACAAGGTGATGGCAACCGCCCGTGACGCTTAAAGGATGCTCTGTGAGGGCCATAATAATAAAGAGAAGGAAGATTGACACAAAGGTTGGAGTAAGCCCTTGTCTTACGGACTTTAACGAGATGGTCAGTACTTGATAAAATCCGCCATAGCAGAGATGAAAAGAGAAAGCACATAGACGCATGCATGTGCTGCTGTGAAGCTCATAAAAGCGCGTAGCAACTGAAATTGCGATGTTATAGTTTCGATTCCTCCTCCCCGATGCCAACACATTTGACAGAATCACCTAGCTCTAATAAACAATAACGCATGTTTACAAGTATGACACACACCAATGTGTCCACAGCAGTCGAAGTGCGGCAATTCGCACATGATTTTGTTATGGCTAGATCACAGCTAAGGGACCTACGAAGGGCTAGCTTTTCTTTTCGCCTCGGTGGAACAGTAGTATTGGTGCTCGGCTAGTGACCCAAAAAATCGCGGACTTGATTCCGGTCACGGCGGTCGCATTTCGATGAAGTTGAAACGGTATAGAAGCCTGTGTACTGTGCGAAGTCAGTGCACTTCAAAGAACACCAGATGGTCCAAATTTCCGGAGTCTTTCACTACGGAGTTTCTCGCAAATATAACGTCGTTTTCAGATGTACAGCCTTGCGTATTATTGTTGTACGTGCTAGAACATCTAACGGCAGTATTCTCCCTTTGATGTTAAAGGAAACCACTCCGAATTGACATACTGAGGTATGCATACTGAGGTATGCATACTGAGGTATGTTTGCGTCTTTTGTATGTCTATGAGCGTTATAATAAATGGAGTACGACAATCCATGCGCACAAAAAAGTGCTGCATGAGCAAATATTAACCTTCTTTTCACTTTCTACGCCACAGAGTGTGCACCCTGGCGGTGAATTGATCTCCTATCTCGGTGGCTTTCTGTCCTCGCTCTACCGGAACAGACGGGAGCCTGCAGCCGCCACGGCTCGGGTGACTGCCAGGCAGCGTCCTACGCTGGAGCAGCAAAGGCAGGTGTGAGTATTAACAGGGCATCTACACTTTAACCTTCGTAGCACTGATAGAGCAGCAACTTCAACATCGAACTGCCTGATAGGCTATCTGTAGCTATTTTTGCAGCGCGTATAGCTACTCGATTATATGAACGCTTTTTCGCTGTGACCATGGTTAAGATTTTGCAGTGTAGGCATGGGCTTGTGTACTTTAGTGTAGGTGCTCGCCTGGTAATACATTCAGCATGCCGGTGTACGAGCGATGGACAATGGAGGAGTCAATGTACTCGAAGTATACGCGAAGTAAACGTACATAGGAATCACGGAATTTGAAACACGACTACTAGTAAGCAATGAATGTCTATTTCTCAGACCTGCTCCACAAAAGAAAAGGTTCGTCATTGCATCGTGGGATGGCGCGTGCAAGGTGCAAGGACGGCATGACTCGACCTCTGTGCTTAGTCAATCACGTTCAAGAATAATGCTTTCAGCTGTAAAAGCTCGTTTGTACGCAGATAAATTGAAATTATTCGAATATTTTGTAACGGGTAGCAGTTGGGACCAAATGTGTGAATAGTTGAGCAAGTCTTTTTTGTGTGAAAGCTCCAGTTTTAATAGGAATGCCAACTTCTTGGTGTTGGTCGTTCGGCCTTTATGTTACGCTGGTCATGGGACTCAGCGAACATAGGGGAGAGAGAAACAGAGCGCTGGGCTGTAAAAGGCCAAACAATTAATAAAATTGCTGGAGCCAGCATTTTGACAAAATGGCTTCTTTATCAAGGCTGTTGTCAGTCTGACGAAGACAAGCTTTCATATAGAAAAGTTCGCTATAGCGACTTACCCCAGAGAACAATTTTTCTTCTATTTCTTCTAAGTGAGGTAAGTAGGCTGAAGTAATCTGGGGAATTGGACTAGCTTTTGCACTGACCGCCATGAGGTAGATAGGCTGATGTGTAAACGCTGTTCGAGCGTGGGGGGACGCAGGCGTCTCTGGCTGATAGAAATTGCTTGTATGCGGAAGGTGAAGCATGAGCTCACGCTTCTTAATGAGAGCTTACAGGTTTCCGTTCCACAATTAATATCATTACAGTGTTCACACTGATTGAGCATCACGAACAGACAGCTACCATGAGTTGTGTAGGAACTGACCAGCCCGAATAATTTTACCTTACTATGACACTGTGTACCCGCAATGCAGCGGAGAATGTGGCACTCACTGTAGAAATTATTAACACACTCTGAATCAAATTACATGAAGGAACCTCAAAGCAAACATCCCTTTTGCATTGATGAAGACGTGATATGCTGACGTAGGGACAAAGGGGTCATTTTTCGCATCACTCGTTTGGGCACCGGTGGTGATTTCGCGGGTTTAATAAAACATGCAATGCATGCGCCAATATATCTCCATAAATCGCAGACACTGTACCAGGGACGATTTCGATGTTATAGAGCACACTCCATGAGGCAAGCGAGATATTTAGTGAAAACGAATAACGCGCCCTTCAACATAGCAATGTAAGAGTTAGCTACCCAGAATTATGTCTTATAGGACCAGCTAGCTCTCTCATGAGAGAGCGTGCCGGATGGCTGTTTTTTATTGGGACCTAAACTGATGGTTCAACACACGCCCAGAGGCCATCGAAGCACCGCGTGGTTTATCTTTAAAAGTAACCAAGATTTTCCGCTCTGTTTTTCGCCATTTCAGGTGACAACAGCCGAAGACTCGGAAGACTCGTTCCAATCCTGCGCCAGCCACGTAGACGAAGCTGCAAGCTGTGTACATTTGTAGCATCCTGGACGCGTTATAATACACTGTGATTTCTGCTTTTTATTCTTCATAATGATTTGATTACCACATAGAAGTTGTTATTCCAGGAGATGGCGTATAAATGATGTTTCGTATTTCTCTCGCGATTCAGAAATACTTCGAACAAACTTTTTTACACCGACATAACGCCACCAATAAACGCATGGGTGTTGTCTGATTCTTAAAGAGTGATTCTGGCCAGTAAACCCGTAATAGCGACGTCTCTCGACGCACTATTAGTAATAGCTGTACTTTCTGCATCCAGTAGAATGCGCGCAAGTTCCTCAAGATCCGCGACTGGCCATGGTGGCGGCTGAGTGCAGTGATCTGACATGTAACTGTACAAGGGCTATCTGTACTATCTGAGTATCTGTGCTAGCAGTTGCGAGAACGCAAGTTCATTGAAAAAGGGCGAGTAAATGCATTAGCAATCGCTGGTTATTTCCTTGTTAAATGTAGTGATAACATAATTGATTCTGGCTGCTGTGTGCAAGAGACTTGTGCAGCGTAGTTTTTTTGAAGAGCTGGGCACAATCAAGCAATAACACAAGTTTAAGGTGAAAACGGATGGATATCGCAATATTTATGATATTTGTAAAAAGCGCTGATTGTAATAATAGCAAAAACAACAAGGTTTCCGGGATCTCCAAGAGACACACCTTCTTGTCTTGGTAGCATAAACACATCAACCAATTGAAAAAAATCTCAGCTTTGCCTGCCGCAAAGGCAAATCAATGAACACAATAGCAACAATGTGGAAGGTCACGCAAAGAATGGCAAGCAGATCAAAATGTGTCTCGTGTTGTTCACGCTCAAATGACGCATGAAACGCACTCTCGGGTAAAGGTGAACGCAAATAAGCGTCTCAGTTATTACTTTGCTGTGTCTGAAAAGCGCGCCCTTTTTGAAAACAGACAATGCAACGACTGCAGTGACCTTAGTACGCCCGGTAGCTGCAATATAATCGTTTAAATGAAAGCCCAAGGCCAGCCAAGACGTACGATTTTCCCCACCGCGAGATAAGGGTACACGAGTTAGCGTCCGTTTCCTCCTCTCCGCGGCGCAAAGCACACGTGGGAGATGAGAGCGTGGCCGCCGCGTCGTGACGAGGTTGCGACGTGCGCTTAGCGCGCCATCTTGCTGGTAACGCTGAAAACATAGTTGTCCACGAGATGCCCGTCAGCAACGGTACGTGGTATGTAAAGATAGCTTGCCGTAGGAACGTTCAAAGAGGTGCTCCTCCATGGCTCAGTGGTTAAAGGCTCACACTCAAAACTCAGAGCTCCTAAGTTCCATTCCGCGCGAAGAAGTGTTTTTCTGGAGTATTTTCTTTTTTGCGTTTCTATATATATATATAGATACGTAAACATATACGGTGATTGACGGCGACGCTGATGTCGACGGCGACGCCGGCAGCAGAATTCAGCCGAGAGTTTCCATATGATTGCTATCACAATAAATGAATGGCGCCGTTTGTACAAGTACTGCAAGGTTTGTACCGCCATGAGGGCCTGCGTTCGTTCTCCTGAGCAAAATGCTGACCTCCCAAGCCCATCATTCTTTCCGATTAAACGACTTTGGTTTGATGGAAACATGTCACATGTAAAATGTTGCGCGAGTTCTTTGGCGGGAGCATTTCTCGTGACTTGTCAAACAGGATTTTGTTTCATGAGGCATAATTGATTGATTTGATTGATATGTGGAGTTTAAAGTTCTAAAAGCTCGATATGATTATGACAGCTGCCGTAGTGGAGGGCTCCTGAAGTTACTGGGGTTTTTTAACGTGCACCTAAATCTGAGCACACGAGCCTACAGCCCCGGACAACGGGAGCGGAGGGGCCCGAGTATCCAACGCCTAGCCGGAGCACAACGTCCTCAAGATCTAGGCCCTGGGACTATGAGACTGTAATAGCCATAGTCTAATAGCCATAAGGAATACCCGCGCCCTGCGTGGCCGGTGACTTCCCGCACCCCGGTTGCATAAATAAATGCTGTTTCTCTCTCTCTACAGCAATTTTGTCTCCATTGAAAATGCAGAGAATTTTGCTTTATGTAAAACGGGCTGCTTCAATTTGACACGAACATGTCACTTTGCCAATAAGACGTGCTTTTAAGTCACGTGAATAGTGTTGAGCGATTATCGCGAGCTGCCGAGTGATTAGTGTTACGTAATTTTACATCAGATTTTCTTCCCTTTTACATTTGCTCCTCTCTCTCACTCTATTTTTTACGTACTTTTATAGCCCCACCGCCGGGGTCTAGTGGCTAAGGTACTCGACTGCTGACCCGCCGGTAGCGGGATCGAATGCCCGCTGTGGCGGCTGCATTTCCGATGGAGGCGAAATGCCGTAGGCCGGTGTGCTCATATTTGGGTTAACGTTCAAAAACCCCAGGTGGTGGGAATTTCCAGAGGACTCCACTACGGCGTCTCTCATAATCATATGTTGGTTTCGGCACGTTCATTCCCACATATCAATCACTCACGTACTCTTATAATTGGTCTCTCTCTTGTTCTTGCTAACTATTTTGTGTCAATGTGTGCTCATTCTCTCACCAATCGAGTTATTGCATCACATCCCGGACCAATCGGCAAGAGGACGAGCGCGTTCCAGGCACACGTTATCTGAGAGTGAAGAAGAACACGAAAAAACGCGGCCTGGTATACTGATGAAAGTTCGTAGCAAACAATATACAGCCCTAAGCCAAGCGTAGACATCTCCACTTTAAAAACCTGTTTCACCGCAAGAAAGAAACCATGAATGCGATAGCAAGCTTATATATATGGTTTCTCATCTCAACGTTACACTTCGAAATTTTGCTGAAACGTACGAGGCTTACTCAAAAAGCGAAAGTTAGACCACCTTTTTTCAGAAAGCAATTCTTAATTTTTCAATATCTTAGAATGGAATCAAAGACGTAGGGAGCCATTCTTGCAGTGAAAAATACCTTGAAATATTTGATTTGCTAACAAAATATGCGTCGAACGTGACCCACCTCACCCACATGATTATGTACACTTCTTAGACACCAAGTGGCTTCGCCTAACAGAATTGCGTCAGTTTTACAGAAAATATATGAGAAAGACACAAACGTGAACACCGTGTGGAAGGTCAGTACACACTCAGGCAAAAGGTGATGACAGAATGGATCGTGTTCAAGAAGGAAAGAAATGCTTGAGTTGATTGAAGTGAGAACAGTGATACACACACCATCACTGT